GACATATTAACACAGAATGATAATATAATAATTTTTATATTTTATATGCATTTATTATGAAACATATAGGACTGTAAATACAAGAAATGCCAAATTTAGTCTAAACGACAGTCCCTGGAGCTTCAATTCCTTATCCAGCTATTGTAACTCTGCTGATAAAGTAACGGAAAAGAAATTAATTTGCTGAAAGATTAGTAAAAAATAAGGTGGAAGAAAAGTAAGTTTCCAATCATTTCTGCTGATCATAATGTGTGGAGAATGGATGTATTGAAGATCCTTCAGTCAAAGGCTTCTACAAATTAACGTTGTATTTGCTTAATTCAGATTATTAATTTGAGCTTTCATATAGAAACAAAAAAAAAAAAAAAATCTAAAACTGGAATTTAGAAATGAAGTTTATCATTGTCACATAAAAAACAAACCAAACCAAAAATGAAGATATACGTCGAACCATTCGGGTTTTCATTTAAAAGTTAAAACTTGGTTAGAATTAATTCCTTTCTGCTATTATGGAATTGATTACTATTGCTTGTTGACTCGCACTGCAGGCCCTTCTCGTCTCACTACACTTACCCACATTCGGATGGCTAAAGCTTGGATAGGACTCAAGAAAACGCACTTATATTTTCCCTTATCCTTTCCCAATCTCATCAAAACAGTTTCTCTCGTATGATCAAAAACTCATCACCAATACTTAATATAGAAATTGAATCCAGCTCAATGATCTGCTGTTGAACACCCAACGGTTTTGAAATTATAAGACCTCTCACCCTCAAAGTATACATCATTTCGTATTAAACTTGCATTTTCACCCACTCCTTTACAAGATAAAATACTAGAAGGACATTTCCATTTCCATATCACTAATCTAGGCCACTTTGAATAGATTGTTCTTGGAATTTATCATAGACATGGAGTTATCCTTGGTCAAAATTACAAGTATAATGCAACACCTTCGTAAGTATCCACCAATTGCTTTCCGCTATAGATCATCATTCTATTTCGATAATTAATCCACAAAAATTTCCAGAGTAGGGAAACAAATAAATTGTAGTCCAAAGGACTTTCCTAGCATGTGGCCACTGGTCACACTAATTATTGTACGACTGAAAAGAATTACATCGGTTTGGATGACAAAGAAAAGCTTTTACATTTTGATCACAATTACTTCCATATACCATCATTATCTTCATTTTCAGCTCAACTAACATAGTCTTTCCCTTACGTTACTATATATAGCTTATGTTATTTAAGTTTCCTAATTTTATTGGCGTTTTCACTAATGCATGATTCTACTTCTCTCTCTCTCTCTCCATCCATATATATATATATATATATATATATATAAACTAATTATTTTATATAAATGGTATTGTATTGTAATTAAGATAAATTATTTGATATATTGTCAATTGAGTATTTTAACTCTATAAGTGAGATTAACATAATAATAAGTGTTTTACTATTTTTAATTAATATTTTATTTTTTTTAAATAGACATGCGTCATCTTTTTAATTTTATTTATAAAATTAAAAAAATTATATTAATAGTTTATTTGATAATTTTTCTTTATAAAATTATTCATTTTAAATCGATTATGAATTTTTTTACCTTTGAGTTACTTTTCTTCCATAATAATTCTTAAAAAAATAAATAGTACTAAAATCATTGACCAAATAAAATCTTAAAAATTAGTTCTTCAAGGCCTGGGAAAAAAATTTTTTTTTTTTAGGTTGTAGTATCTAGTATATAATTGTCCTTGAAAAACAGAATTCAATATGCTGCCAATCAAACTTAAAAGAAATAGGAGTCTATATATATAATTATATGATAAATTATTTGATATATTGATAATGAAAATTTTTAATTTTACAAGTGAAATTAAAATAATGATAAATATTTTTAAAAAATTAAATTATTTATTTTTTAAATATATATTAAAATATATATGTATCATTATTTTAACTTTATTTATAAAATAAAAAAATTTTACTCCCAATATATTTGATAATTTCTCATAATCATATATATATATATATATATACATATATATATATATATATAAAACAAATATGCTTTCTACATCCATGTTGATGCTAAGCATATCTTTGAGAGTTGATTTTACAATATCTTTCATGATATTTGATTTTACAATCTCTTTCTTTAGTAATTATGTCTATTATAAATAGTAAATGAGAAAAGATTAATTTATATTAGTATAATTTTTATATATTTTTAAAATTTTGAATTAAAATTGTTAAATTAAAAATAATTAAATAAATTTTAATTTAAAAATCTCAAAAAAATTATTTAATATAAATAAATCTCTATTCATAATAAATAATTAAAAAAATCAAATTACATTCAAGCTGTTCGAGTTAGTTACTACTTGTCACGGGTCAAGATTCAATTTTTAGGTCTACTCAGCTCCAGGATAGAGCATGCATTCATTCGGGATTTCAGACCAACTTATTTGTGACGGTTCATACTCTTATGAAGTATTATCTGCTCTGATCTCATTGATCTCACGATTTTATTTTACAAAAGATGTCTCACAATAAAAAAAAAATGTGAATCTTTATATCTCATAATTAATTCTAGTACAAAATCAATGTGAAATTTAAGACTACTCCTTAAATTTGTGACACTAACATATAAAATTAATCAATCTTTTCACAAATTTTCAGGGTAAAGGTTAAGGACATTCGTTACATGAAAACATGCTCATGCTTTTGACTGGTTTAATTGAGGTTTTGTTTTGAATGTGCCCCAAGATTTTACTATTTGAGATGTTAGTTCAGTCACTGATCTGACTCATCGTCATCTTTGAACTAATCAGAAACTATCAAAAAAGTTGTTTCCCATTTATAGGTTCCACAACGTCACCCTTTGATCTATTAATGGTAAAAAACTGATTATGAGCATGAATGGGGCTGAAGCGTGAATCATGACAGAAGCTGCCATTCAAAACAAATAAATGGGAATCACGACACAAAAGGGTGACTTTGTGGAACCTATAAATGGGAATTGGAGTTTGGGTGGCAGCCTTAATTAGTAGTAGTTATCCAAACAAAATTAGAATCTCTTACATTTTCAACAGGCATGAAGGATGACAGAAGCTGCCAGTAGCAGCACTAGTGATAATTGAGTAAGGCAACATCTCCATTTAGAAAAGAAAAAGAAAATCATACTTTTTAATTCTGAAATAATTGATGATTACTGACCTTATTTTCTGATGCATGTCTTTTTTCGAAAAAACCAACCCCTACAAAACAAAAGAAAACAGAACTGTCCTTTGATACTCTGTGCACAAAAAAAAATCCCTACAAAAAAAGAGAAAAAAAAGAGACTTGATGGAGGAGAGAGCCTGGATAGGCGAGACAGAGATGGGTTTTGAAGTGTTTTACCAGAAAGTGAAGGTTTTGGTTGAAACAGAGATGATTGTGTCATAAAATTAGCTGCCATTTTTCTTCTGAATAGAGAAACAGAGCTTTGCAATGCTGAATTGCTGATACTTACCTTTTCATGTTGCTTCCTATACATGGCTGTCCATGTAAGTTTAGATGGCTTCAAAAAGTTGTGGAAATACCTTTGGAATGTTGAATTGGAAAAGAGGAAAACCTAAAAAAGTTTAAAGAAGAAGACTGTTTATTCCCAGTGTAACAATGTAACATCAATAGCAATTGTCAGACCTCAAATTCCCAAAGGAAGATTTAACATTAGTCCCAGTTTTTGGTCTTTTAAGGAGTCGCTACTTCCTCCCTTAGATTCATGCATGGCCAACCAGCATGAAACCTGCAACCACCTCCTCCAGCAGCTCCGGTGACTACCATACAGTGAGTTTTAGCTTCTATTTTTAGCTTCTATCCATTGGAAAAAGAATCGACAAATTGGAACAGTTTTGAGTTCCAATAAAGCTTCATCAAAATAAATTTTTTCTTTTTTATTTCGCTTTTTTGAAAAATATTTCTAAATCAAATCCTAATTCAGCTAATGAAAAAGGTAGATGTGAATATAATTATATCTTCGGAGGAGAACCTCGGAGGAGTTTGCCTTGGGTAGAGAAACGAAGCGAGAGTAGAGGTGGATGATTCCCCATTAGGAGGGAGTATGCGGACTTATCCTTGCCGTTGATGCTTCTCCATGGTAGCCATGATAGTGGAAGAGACAGTGGCAATACTGCTAACAGAGGAATGAAAAAGGAGAGAGGTGTCGTCGAGGAGAGAATGAGAGGAAAAGAGTCTGACGAGAGAAAGAACGAAACCAACACTTCAACCCTCAGATTTGTTTTTGACATGGCTGAGTTGGGTAGTAAATTGGCGACTTATTGCTGAGGGGTAACTTTTATTATTAGTTATAGATAATATAATACACAATTAAATGTTTAACATATAATTATCATTTAAAAATAAATAATATTCACATACAACACCTGCAAAAATAAATACTAATTGTAAACTTGGATTAAAACAAAAGGAGTAGCAAAAATAAATGCAAAAAGAGTAATAAACCACATACTCTTTAAACAAAAATCAATCTTCAGCCAAACTGCAGTCCATAGTCATACGCTTTGCCTTCGACAAAGCACAAAGTCAGTTGATTCGAAAATTTGTTTATTTATACACATTGACTTCTTGTTAGTACATTAAATATTCTTTTTATTGATTGTATGAGAAATTCTAATTTGGCTTATAGTTAGAATATTATTCTTACCTTGGAAATTTTTGTTTTAATTTAACAAAATGAAAATATTAAAATGTACAAGTAAATTTATAAAATAAACGCAATTTTATGAACCATAATTAAAATAAATTAACCTACCATAAAACCTTAAACAAATAATGGCCAATTAGAAGAAATGATACAAAAAGTGAAATTCAAAAACTCTACGCATAAGATAATAATTCTTCACAATAGTTTTTACAGTTTATTGTTAACCATAGCAACAAATTTCGATTAAAGTCCCAAGTTTTTCTTAGATTTATTAAGCACAAAAGCATGCGAAAAGTCTTCCATCTTTGAAAATATATTCACCAATAAATAGTAGCTTTTTTAATGTCAACAGTCTTCAGACAGAGGAATCCATTACAACTCATTCTCTGTGCCAAAGATAAGTTGTCCTACAAATAGAACAAAAGTAGTTAAAAACAAAAAAAAAAAAAAAAAACCAGGCATCAACTCTCTTTTGGTAGTCATTGATTAAGGTCTCTCCAGCCTCATCTCCACCTATGCCTTGCTATCTATGCTCATTGGTTTGGGTTCTTTGGCAGCTGATTTCTGCCCATGTCAAAGAAATCAATCAATCACTCCACGAAGCAAGAATAATCAAAACTCATCAAAGATGTTGTATATACAGCTATAATAATTCCTCAATTACACCGGCTATTGAACACTTACGCTGGACTCAACAGTCTCCATTTTATTCATCTTGGCAAACATGTTGCCATAAAATTTGGCTTCCTTCTTATTGTACTCTTTAATCTTCTCTTTCAAAACTTTGTAGTTGAGCTTAACCTCTCTGGTGTCAAACAATAATAAACTCATCATTATAGAATACATTGACAAATGGCACAGGAAAAACAATTTTTTTTTCTTTACCAGTTGTGTTCAAGGGTTAGAGCTCTAGCAGGGCACATTAGCCTATTTAAGGCATATTACCTGTTATCAGGATCAAGCTCAAGAGCTTTCTTAATGTCAAACTCCGCCAAATCCAAATCTGCCAGCTGAATGTATGCTTGAGCCCTTCTATACAGGGCTTTCACGTTTGCACTTTCTAATTCTAAAACCTGCATGTGCATAACAAGCATCAGTAAACGTTGCTACACAATCTAACTAAATATTATTGATTGCAGTTATGAAGATTATTCCAACCTTGGTGCACAACTTCTCAGCCTGCTTGTAATCCTTCAGTTTCAATTTGCAAGCAGCATTATTCAGGTTGCACGCAACCTTCAATGCCTTAGCATGCTTTTTCTCCTCTTCACTAAAGGAAGAATCATAGTCGATACACTTGACAGCCTGCATACACAAACACCAATATATCGATCGCAAGGTATTAGAAAGCAGAAACTGAAACTTTCACAAGCCAATATGTGCATCACTGCATACCTTCTCATATCTCTTAGAAGCTCTCACATATTTGCCAGCGTTGAACAATACATTTCCTTCTTCCTTCTTTTTACCAGCAGCTTCAATCTTTTCTTGGGTGTTCATATCCCATGATTCTTTTTCCTGAAAAAGCAACTTATCAAAACCGATTTTCCAAATAGATATCTTATAGACACACAACAAAGAACTTAACTTGTAACAAGCACACTGATTCACTAACCTTCACAAATGATACCAACTCAACTTCATAGTATACAGTTGAGTTCGGTGGTACCAGAGCCAACTCTTGCTGTGACTCAGATGACCCAAAAGCATACTCAGGTGCAACAGTCAGCTGTGCTACTTCACCTTTTTTCATAGTCATCACGGCTCTATCAAGGCCATCAATGACTTGCTCTGTAACAAAAATTCAAGCAGTCACATTTCAGCTACAATCATGAAGTCAAAAGAATAGTGGAAAGGAGGCTTCAGTTACCTTCATCTGTCTTGAACTCAAACAACTTTTCTCCTTCATTGTGACCCCTTTTCAAGAAGACAGTACCATCTTGCAGTTTCCCAATCAATTTAACTGCAAAAAAGTACATAAAAATATATTAAATAACAATTTTTTTGAATTGGGAAAACTGAAATTTCTTTTTTCATAATTTAACACCAACCTTGGACAATAGCCCCCTCATTCGGGCGCTCATATCCCTCCCCTTCCTTCAAGATTTTCTTTATGATCTTCTTGTCATCACTAACCTCAGTCACAGTTTTCCATGAAACCAACTCCAAGGTAATCAGGAGTGTCGCATTTGGAGGCACTGCACCTTCAGCACCAGTGGCTGGCTTACCCTTCTCACCAAAGCCATCTTTATCATAGTACAATGGGGTTAAACATCAGAAACAAGAACTAACCATATCTATATTCATGTTAAATGAATTAAAAGAAAATTAACTTACATTGTGGCTTCACTGTAAGAAGTACCTTCTCCCCCTTCTTCATTGTCTTAACAGATCTTGCCAATGCAGGACAAAATAGACCTGAACATAGAGGAAGAAGCAACCCCTGTATTTACGCATTATAGATGAAATATTGGGAGGGAAATAAAATGAAGAAAAAGGACATTGACACAAACCATCCTTAACAGTGAACTCCATGCCATCAGCTTTTGCCACCACCGTGCCATCATCAAGTTTAGCTTCATAGTTAACTACATTCGAGACACAAATCCATTATTAAACCTAGCTTAGCTCAGTCAAAAAGTCACTCCCCTTTATACAATATTATTATTTTATAAATATTAAAAGATGGAATAGATTATGATCATGTACCTAGCACCTCATCGAGGTCCTTTGGATTGTCCCATTTGTCTCCTTCAGCAAGTATCTTCTTAAATATCCCACCATCTTTGCAAATGTCCTTGATACTTGTCCAAGATAGCAATTCAACATCGAATTGGAGGGTGGCATTAGGTGGAATGGTTGGTGGTGAGCCAGACTCACCATATGCCAGCTCAGGAGGAATGGTAAAAATAGCATTTTCACCTTTCTTCATTGTCTTAATACCTTCATCCCATCCTTTAATAACTTGTCCTGCAAACATAAAAAGAAAGCAGAAATACCATATTAATGCGTAATGCCACTCCACCATAGTTTCTCACTTAGACAAAAAAGATCCGTACATGTCCAACATTATGCAAAAACTTAACAGCGAAGGATTTAAATGGCATATCCTCCTCATGCCTTGGCACATCTTGAACTTACAGAGGTCTTGCCCCTCAATATTATCATCAAAAGACAAAATCCCACTGAATAGACTAAATTAATTACAATAAAAGCATGGAGCCGGTATCAATAATATCTACACAAAACAATTCACGAAGGTGCAAAGAAATGCCTTTAGTACATTCCAAATATAGTAAGTTCAAAAAAATGTATTGATATTAGAAATTTGAACAGCAGGAATACAAAAGTTTTTATTTCAGAAACTCCCCATTGTTTTAATATAAGTTCCAAAAATTTTAAATGCATTTCCAGGAAAAGGAAGAATACAATCATAATTAATGGGTCAAAATTAAAGTGCATGTTATTCATGAACAATGCTTTGGACTAATGTCTATTTACAGTGCAAAACACTAAAATCAAACTTATACTTGCCAGATTATGTTCATCATTTTTCCTTCAAATTCAATGTACACCTGAAAAAATTGCTTTCGGAAAATTCCAAAAGAGAAATAGACGATTTTTGTTTACCTTGACCGAGAATGAACTTAAAAGGAGTCCCCCTATCACGGCTCGAGTCGAACTGAGTTCCATCGAGCAACGTCCCCGTGTAATGAACTGCACCAATAACAACCAATCAGAATCCCAAACATTTTCAAAGCATAAGAATTTTTTCTTTTTCTTTTAATTTTTACTTCCTTGTTTAAATTATAATTTATTTATACCTTCAACTTCGTCGCCGGTTTTAGCATAGTCCCAACCTTCACCTTCCTTAACAAGCTTCTTCTTCAAGCCTTGCTTTCCGATCTCCTTCTCTTCTCCGACTTTCAAAACGGGACTCTCGTCGGGAAGATCCATATCTTCGTTCATCATGTCCTCCGCCGCCGGGATATCGAAATCGTCATCCATTTCTAATCGAAGAATCTAGAGAGAAAGAGAGAGAACGCGTGGTAAAGAATAAAAAGAGCGTACACGGTAAGCTTTGAGCTTTGAGTAGCGCGGCAGGGGCGACTAAGAGGGGGCTTTTATGGAAGAGTGAAGGAGAGAGAGAGAGAGTTAGGAGACTGTGGCTTCTAGAGGCTTCCACAAAGGTTTAGGCAGAAACTAGATCAGAGTTGATCGATGATTTCTGAAGGGTAAGGATGCTTCCAAATTTCCTCTCTTTTCTTTTTTTTTTAAATTATTTTGTTTTATTTCTCGGTGGTTAAAGATTGTATTGACTAGATTGTTTGTTGTGCATGGTTTAACAGTTGATCGGACGGCTCCAGCTTGTGACGTGTGTTTTTTTTTAAGGCTGTTTGTTAGAAAAAATAAAAAATTTATATAAAAGTTATTAATTTAATAATTAATAATTTTTTATTTTTTAATTATAAGTTGATAAGTATTTTATTTTTATTTTTATTTTTTCTATCCTTCCAATCAAACAATGCTTAAAAGAGGCGGCAAGGTATTACTTCTTGTCCTAATTTCTTAAAATACTTTTTTTATTAAATATTTTATTAGTATAAGTGATCAATTTTATTAAAATTTTTTATTTTATAAATTATAAAATATAATAATAAAATTCATGAAAATATCACTTTTATATGATCTTGGATTGATGAGATTGTTATATGCTAGTGTCTCATAAATTTTACATGATTTGTTTTTATAAAAATTAAAGTCTTTATAAATAAATATTTTTATCATAAATATTATATAATCAATAAAATAAATAATAATACAAACATAAAATGTCGTGTCTGGATTTGAGGAATAAGGTTCCAAATTTTCATGGGGATGTCACTTAAAAATTGGACAGCGCAGAGCCTAGTCAACTGTCCACTGAAATCAACTAGGAAGCTTGTCGGTGAGTCATAAGAGATTTTGGATAAACTTAAGGAATGCATAGTTGAAATCAAATATACTTTTTTTCACCATGTAAACTTAACTTGGTTTAGTAACAGAAATAGTCTAGTGCAGTTTGGGAAAAAACAAACAACTAGGATGATAGTAATTTGGATTTGATTTAATTATTTAAAAATATATATTATTATAAAATTTTAAAATTAAATTTGAATTTGAATTTATTTTTTTAAATTGATTAGATTTGAATTAAATTTTATTGATTTGATTAAATTTATCAATTTTTAAATTTTTAAATTTTTTTATATATTATTTTTAATATAAATTTTATTATATTTAAATAAATTTAGATGTAAAATAATTATTTTATTTTTTAAAAAATTAAAAAATATAAAAATATATAATTTGATTTTTAATTTTATATAAAATTCAGTTAAAATTTAATATATATTTAATATTTGATTAAATCGATTAAAAAAATAAATAAAGTATTATTATTTTAGATTAATTTTTTTAATTTTTTATTATTTTGTTACCCCTAAGTGCAGTTGTGGCATGTAAATGTGAAGCTGTGAAGATGCCTCGTTCTTTAGCAAACAAGAATTGCACTTTGAAGGTGCCTTCATCAGAAAATTCACAAGTAGAGTACTGCGACAGAGGCCTTTTATCAGTTCTTGCACGTGCGTATGTTATGAATTTAAAGGGAGTGTTAAATCTAACATCGAATATAATAAGAGGATCATTGAGATATAAAAATGTTCACACTATTTCTGTCTTGTGAGGTGCTTTTTGTAAGATAAAATCATGAAATCAAAGAGGATCAGAGCGGACAATACCTCACAAAGGTGTGAATCATGACAGGAAGGTTGATCTGAGACGTCGGATGGGTGAATGCCTAAGTCTCGGAGCCGCGCAAGTTCGGAGCTTAAGTCTCGACCCGTGACAAGTGATATCAGAACCAATTCTAAACCGTTCAATCTACGCCAAACATTTTGAAGGACGAGGCAGGGTGATCAGCCTCCGTGACAAAAGCGTCACGAAATTGGATGTGAAAAAATATCACGGATCTAAAAGGGAGAGTCCTGAATCCCACATCGAACATAATAGGAAAGTCACTGAGATATAAAAGTGTTCACACCACTTCTACCTTATGAGACTCTTTTTTTAGGATAAAACCGTGAGATTAAGATATTAGAACGGATAATATCTCACAAAGGTGTGAACCATGACAATCAGACTGATTCGAAACGTTGGAAGAGTGAATATTCAAGTCTCGAAATCGCACGAATTCAAAGTTTAAATCTCGACCCGTGACACGTGTACTATGTACCAATAACAGGAACCAACCCGACACCTAAAAATCTTCTTTACTTGAATTAGAAATTGGGAAAAACCCTCCTTCTGGTCCAAAAGAAAAAACAAAAATCGTCCTTAAAAGTTAAAAGTAAGAAGAAGGATTGTATACAAAAAGAGGAACACAACTCTAGTATCAAGATGGGACCGATACTTCACTTTCACCTCCATTTTTTTTTTCTCGTACTAGCCACTGCTTCTCATCCTATTATCCTACCATCTCACTTATAAAGTTTAAAAATTTTGCTATCAATATGTTTAATAATTTCTTTTGATTTAATTTCAACATTAAAAATTAGTTTCTCCAACAAAGTAACAAACAAATCGTTTCGCTTATGAAAAAAACTACCAGAATCTAGTTTCTAATTTCTAACTAGAAGGCCGGGTGAGGTTACCATATTCTCTAGCGTTTCTAAAAGGAAAACAAATATGTAAAAGCTAAAGCTGCTGCTTCTCTGACTAGTGGCTATAGCTCATCTTCACTTGTATTCTCCCCACTCGATGGCTTCCCATTGACTGCAACAAGCTCTGCGTCAAATATTTTGCTCCACCTGTAACTTTGGCAGAACCACAAATTGTTCATATTTTCTGATGGACAAACAAGCGAAGCAAATCAAAGATTTTGATGCAATTATGTAGTGCAGCTTGCATAATAACATTATTCCTTCAATTATATAAGTAATGGACAACTGTTTATCATTACCTTCTCAAGGCATTGAAATACTTCTATCAACCACAAAAGGAATGACTAACAGGAAAGGAATTACCAGGGATGGTAGGTGGTGAACCTTGTGCACCATAACCAAGCTTTGCAGGTATTTTCAACTTGCGCTTCTCACCAACACACATCCCCAACAGTCCTTGGTCCCATCCTGCAAAGGGCATATTTTCTTCAAGCATCAATGAACTCCATGCAATATACCAACCAACAATCCAGTCATAAAACAGATGAATACTTGTCTGAGTTTTAGCAAAAAGCTGTGAGTGATTGCTAGGGGGAACAAACCTTTGATAACTTGACCACTACCAAGCTCAAACTCAACGGGATCACCCCTTCGAAACCGGAATCGAAAACAGTTCCATCAGTGAGTTTCCCCTGCAAAAAGAAACCCATATTCAAAAAAAAAAAAATAAAACTCATAGTTAGCAAACAATTAATTAGACCATAAAAATTTTTAGGGGAATCTATTCTTAACCATAAAAATCACATGACTAATCATTTTCTTCCTTTTTTTACCCCTTTTATAATGAAAAGGAATAAAATGAATTTAAAAAATTGGAATAATGGCACAAGCAAAAGGATAGTAGAAACAGCCATAAGTCACAATAAGTAGGGCCCACAAAACCATCCAAGTTGATGGGCCTCTACCATGAAAATTAAAAACATAAAGAAAATTACTACACCAAACTCCTGTGTTCAAAATCCAACACAGGAACATGCTGGCGAAGTTGAAACCAGTTGACATATAGCAATCTAAAAAATGTTTGGCTCCTCCTATATTACCAAAAAAAATTCAAAAGAATTACCTAAATGTTTCTTAGAAGTGCAGGACAAAAAGCACAATTGAATATTCATCATTTATATTTAAGGATCAAGCAATATAGTGCAAAACTTAACATCCAGTGGAGGCTCTCTTGAAACATACCCGAAAGTGCACTTTGATTCTATCACCCTTTATCAGCTTGAAATTCACATGATTTGGGCTTGTACTGTGAAAAAGTGAGAAAGAAATAGATAATAAGATCACACGCAAGGAAAAAAGGGGACTTCTTGCGATGAAAAATCAATGGTAGCCCTAAAGAAGCCATGGCCATTAAGAATGAAAATAAAATAGTAATAATAATAAAGAACAATTACTACCAGGAATCCATAATATTCTCCAAAACAGCAGAATATCATATTAAAGATAATGAAAGACACATTTTACAGCCTTTAATTAATCTCAAATCAAATACTATAGCACTTAAATTTTTTTTAAAAAAAAAAAACTTTAAAAGGGAAATACATATTGCAAGGGTGTAGAAAAGAAATACCTTAACGCCGATCTGGAGCTCGGTCACATCGGCTGACTTCTTGGCATTCGCTGAAGAATTCAGGTGTAAAGAAAAACAAACCAATAATAAACGTAAGGAAGCTAAATCGCTTGCAAATAAAAATAAGGATTAAGTCAAAAGACAAGAGCCGTTTTAACAATTGATCAGATCTGGAAATGGCGAGACCTTCTAATTGATGAGCGAAAAATTGATTGGATAAAAAAAAAAAAACCTTACAAAGTGTTAAAAGGATCACCAGAAGCAGAATCGGAGCCACCTTCAAAGCGCAACTGAAAATCATTTTGTTTCACTCTCTCTCTCTCTCTCTCTCTGTGGACTTCTGGTGATTCGATGTTTAAAAACAACAACAGACGCCTGTACTGAGCTGAATTCTGGTGTTTCGATGTTTATAAACAAAAACAGACGCCAGCAACGGGCTGAAATGATCTGGCCTTACATTTCTGTTACGACCCGTTTTAGATGTCAAAGGATTGATTGTTCTCGTTTTTGTAATTTTGTTAGTACCATTTGTTTTTCTCAGAACAAATCAACGCCTCAGCAATTGAAAAAACTGATAGACCTAGCAAAACATTTGAAGGTCTCAAAAATTGAGTACACCAAATTGTTAAGGATCATCCTTTAGTTGAAATTATGTTTGTTTTGGTCTAAAAGAACAAAGAATGACATGATTAAAAACAATATTTTCAAGATAAAAATTGTAGAGCTTAATTGTTTCTATTCGAGCTGCATAAATATAACCACAAATGCAGACTACCATAGATGCCCATGCTAAGTAAAACATTTCTGCAATATGATTGCGAAATTTAATTAGTTCTGGAAGGATTCAGGAGCTGCCTCCACCTGTATACACAGCAGTCTTATTAACCAATACAAGCAAATCTTGTTATAATATTCTCAAATTCTTTCTGAGGGCACAACCATATATTAAAACAAAACAATAGAATGCAATGACACCAATTTGTAGCAGCTGTAACATCCAAACTGCTGGCAGGACTGACTAACCAAGAATTATATAAACTGATAGATGATTTTGTTCCACCTGCAAGACATTTTATCATCCTCTTTTCTCAATGTTATCAGCAAAATCTCATGACTAGCCACTTTATGTTAACAATTTAGACATTCCACCAAGAAGTAAAATTGCCGTTAATGTTATCAGGGTTAAGTTGCTTGTTTCTGACGGTTGATAACAATGAATACCAGCCCTGACGCCCGTTGCAAGGAAACTTAACCTTTTAGGATCCTTCTACTGATCAAAAGTTGGTTCAGTTCCTACAATAACACAATAGTCTATACCTTTGCAGTGCCTCCACGAAGAATGGATCAATGTGACTTCCATTAAACTAAAAAGGGCATCCTGTTGATAATGTGCACGAGCAATGTCTTCCCTCCCTCCCTTTTCTCCTCCTTCACACTGATTACAAAGTTACCCTTGCCAATAGACACACTGAAATGTAGATCCATTTAAAGAAAAACCTCAAAAGATCGTGATCAATTCAACATCACACCTTCATAAGCAAGCTGTAAAAAAGTTCGCTGCTTCACATCTGATTGACAGCTAGAACTTGTTCATTTTCTGACTGGAGTCAAATATAGTATCATAGACCAGAGAAGAAAATTCATTCTCAATTCTTAAAATGCAATGCATCCAGCAAAATCCTGTAATTCTTTTGGCCCATAGACAAATCCCTCTTCTTCCACTCCTCTAGCAATTCAAAAGCATCATTACTCCTCCCTCCCCTACATAATTCCTCCAGTACAGTCTTATAAGTCAATAAATCCGGTGCCATCGAATTCCCCAACATATCAGAAACAACATCAACAGCATCCTCAAGCCTTGACTCCATCGCAAGACTGCAAATCAGAATCATATAAGCACTCCTTTTCGGCACCAACCCTTTCTCCCTCATCTCCTTAAACAAGCCAAACCCCTGCTGCACCCTTCCTTTCTCACACAACCCTTTGAAAATATAACTATATGTATACTCATTCGGCTTGCATCCATACAACCCCATCTCGCGAAAAACCCGAATTGCTCCATCAACATCCAAACACTTTGAATGGGCCTTAATTATCATATTCAACACGAAAGCATCCGGAATAATTCCTAAAGCTTTCATTTGCTTCGTTAAAGACCGGACCGAGTGTAAGTACACATAACAAACATTTTGTCTATTAAATCTTCTAAGCAAAGAATTGAACAATAAAGCAAATGTCTCGAGCGTGGGTTTGCAATAATCTGATTTCAGCATTTTCTTGTAAACATCAAACGCGCGGTTGAAAAGGAACTTACGGCCACAGCAGAAGCGGATTATGGTGTTGTACAGAGGGACACTGCTGGGGCAGGCTCCAGCGATGACTTCTTCGACTAGGGTTTCGGCGTGGCGGTAGCGTTTGGCGGAGATGAGGAGTTTTATTATGGTAAGGTAGGTCGCATCGGTGTGTTTGTATCCGCGTTGCAAGGCAGTCCAGCGGAAGATGTCGAGAGCGAGATCGGCGTCGGGTTGGGCTCGTAGTGCTGCCTCCACGTCAGCGGGGGTGAATCCGGGTTTCAGCTTTTGGATCCATGTTTCGAATTGGGTCTCGAGAGGGGTTCGGGTTCGGGGACGGAGGAAGGGTGAGGTGGGGTTTTGGGAGGGTTGAGGTGGGATGGAAAAGTGGCGGTTATAGAGCGGCGGGCGCGTGAAATGGAAGGAGAAGACAGCTGGAAGTGGAGAATAAAGGAGGTTTTGTGGGGTTTTCTGGCAAATGGAGGTGACAAAGCGACGGAAGGCCACAGGCATTTTCAGTCAGGGTTTATCGGGTGATTGGAATTGTAAAACGAGAAAAGCTTACTAGTTAGCTAATGGAGTTGTTGTTGACTTGTCGTGAAAATCTTAGCCCAAAAGTAAGAGCATTTGAACCAACTCTTTCCGGGATGGGCTAGGCTTGACGTTAATGACTAACCAGACAAGGCTTTTAGGATGGGCTTGGCATCACTTTGGGGTGTGGAATTTGATGTTTTTTTTTTTGTTCTTAATTTTGAGAAAAGAGTTATCAGATTTTAATATTTTTCTAGAAAATTTTCAAGCCTATTTGAACCAACATGCCGACTGCCGAGTTGGACCCCGGATAAAAATTTTTAAACGTCAGTTTAGCCTAATCGGCTCATAGAAACTTCTAAATGTCACCTTGTTGTAAGAATTTCCAATTCTATAAAAATAAAAAATGTTGGAAGGACGTGTCCCCTACTTCCTTTGCTTGATCCATTCGTTCTAGAAAAGAAGGAAAAGGAAAATCCCATGCCGCCCCATTTTCCTTGCTATACAAATCCAAGAAATCTTATCTACCTTCCACCTTGCCGGTGCTGAATCTCTTCCGACCACCTATTCTAGCTAAAGGTGAATGCTTCGCATGTGAGATGGCCTTGGGATTTTGAACCTCCCATTTAGTAAGTAACGTGTCAGAAGTCTGTGACTGTAAGATTCTTAGAATAAATTGAGAGAAGAGTGAGTTTATTACAAACAAAAGTAATACTAGTCCCATATAAACGGCAGAACAAATCAATTATCATTAAAAAAAAAAATGTTATACTCCTTTCTTCACATGATTTTCTGTCATTATTACTTGTTTGGAAGTTTTTCAGCATTTGTTCGGACAAATTACATTCGCATATGCGAGGAAAGGGACAAGTTGCTGGTATTGTTTTCGCTACAAGATGTGTGGATCACAAATTTAATGCTTTTTCAGTGCAGGGTTTGTTTGTTTTCAAGTTAATTAGATTATGTTTAGCAAGTGAAAAAAGATACCCGCATAATGCCTTTACCTTTTGCATTTTATGCGCTTTATCATATTGCTTTGCCCCAACAGAATCCAAAAAAGTTTTAGCCTTTTTATTAGTTTGGACAAAAATTGCTCGTCATCATTTTTAATTCTTAACTCTATCTCCTAATTCATTTCATCCATCCTCTCGATAGTCTTATCCATATTTAAACTATTCTCTTTCCTTTATCCTTTTGTCTTAGAATGAAAGATTATCTCAAATCTTTTTTATAATAGTTGATTGATTTGATTTACAATTGAGACAACTTTAGACTAACAGCAGCAAACTGTTTTTCTCTCTCCAAGTTAACTGTTTTTTTTACCATCAACTAATATAGTTAACCAATTTGTCCATGTAACGTTTGATCAATAGTCGCATGTCAAAGAAAAAATTTTAAACAATTTTTTAATTTTCGCATAAATGTCATGTGGTAATACATGGTTGGTGATTAAAATATGTAATTTTTTAATTAAAATTAAAAATATATTAATAAAATTTATTTTTATGATTTTTTTGAAAAATGAAAAAAAAAATCGAGAACCAAAAAACGGAGGAAGAGGAAATGCATTTCTCCATTCTCGTCTTTCTTCTTGATTTAAAAAAATAATAATAATAAAGAGTATTTTAATAATAATTTAAAAAATTAATAATTTTAAGGTTGTCATTTAGCATTTATGTGAAAATTGAAAATTTATTTAAAATTTTTTATTTGATGTACATATGATCTTATTTTATTGGTCACGAATCACATATATAAATTGATTGAAGGTGTCAATTAATGACTCAAAATATTACCTAATTTGAAAATTTACGTATCAATTTATACATTTTATATTTGTAAGTATTAATTTATACACTTTTTTCAAAGTTAAGATACAAAAACTAGCATTAACCCAATGGAGCATAAGCTATAAATAGATAGAGTTGATTTGAGATGTTGTTTCTGCCTGCCCAGCTGCTAATGGTAATCTACTATTTTCAGATATTGATTACAAAACCTCCTTATTGAAGAGGAGATAAGGGTACTCGAAACAGGTTGGCAGTCTTCCATGCTTCGCCATGTTCGCAGGAAAACTAGTTGTACTGCTGACTGAGTTGCTAAGATGACTCGACAGAGGAAATATCCTGTTCATTGGGTTTTATGCATGTCCTCTAAACTTTTGGATTTGTTATCTTTATAATGTTTCGATGAGTGGGTTGTAATTATGCAAGAACAAAAAAAAAATGTATACTATTTCAGGTAACACTCAGGACAAAATTATGCTTATAGAAAAGCTACAAAATGAACCTCAAATACACATGGATCTGTTGGAGTCCTGCCGGCCCAACTCTTAAACACACGTTTCTATCTCAGAAGGCCACGGCAGTTTTGAAGGACATTTGCTTATCTGTAGCCTGTAGAGGAGCCAAACGCTACTCTAACGGCTATCTGCGCTTTCTCAGACAAAGTCTTTTTTTCTGACTGAACATCTCTTTCTTTTTTTATCCTTCACTCTCTTGCTTTTTCCTAGGCCTCCAGGAAACTAAACAAAAGCTATAATAGATCACATAAAAGTCCCTGACTGCCCCACCATACATATCTTATATACGACTTTTTTATTCCTTAAATATCATTTCTTCATCTTATTTGATTCTCTATCGCGAATCACTTTATCATATCGTCATTTGTTTCCTTTTCTTTCTTTTTATCTTTTACCATCCACAAAGTAGAAGTGTACTAAAAAAAGTATTATTCCATCACAGCCATAGTTTTAATCTCCCCAACACACATCGAAACAAAACCCAACCTTTCACGACAATCTCATCAGCCACTGCTTTGTTTCAAGTCCCTATATGTCATTTTTGTTAACCCACCTCATCTTCTTAAGAACTGATCAAAGATCCAATCTTTCTCTCCTTGACCTTTTTTTAACAAGGCAGCCATTGTTGAATAGACTTGGAAATAACATATCAGGCTCAGGAAGAACCATCTGACAGCGATGCTGAATATGGGTCTTCTTCCTTTCTACTTCCTCTTTCTTTTCCTTTCCATTTCCAGTAAGCTCTCTCTCAAAGCCCAAACAGAACAGTCATTTTTGCTTACTTTTTTGGATGTTTTAATGTATTTCCATTTGATTTGTTTTCTTTGCAGGTGGTGAGATCTCAAATCAAGTGGGAATAAACTACGGTCAGCTAGGGAACAATCTACCATCACCGAAAGAATCAGTTAAGCTAATCCAATCCCTCGGAGCCAAACGTGTCAAAATCTACGATGCAAATCCTCACATCCTTAACGCTCTCAGAGACACAAATCTTCAAGTCTCGATCATGGTCCCAAACCAACTCATAACCAATATCTCCACCAATCAAAAACTAGCTGATTCCTGGGTCGAATCCAACGTTGTCCCTTTTTACCCCAAAACGAAAATCCGATACCTCCTCGTCGGCAACGAAGTCATCAGCAGTTCCCCTAACGAAACCTGGTACAACATCGTACCAGCCATGCGTAAAATTAAAAAAGCCTTAAAAACCCATAGGCTCCACAAAATCAAAGTTAGTACCTCCATGGCAATGGATGTCCTGGAATCGTCATTTCCTCCTTCGAACGGCACGTTCCGATCTGACATCGCCGTCCCGATTGTTAAACCGATGTTACAGTTTTTAAACCGAACCAAATCCTTCTATTTCCTCGATGTTTACACTTATTTCCCTTGGTCCACCAACCCCAAAAACATTAACCTCGATTATGCGCTTTTCGAATCCCAAACCATAAAATACACCGACCCGGCATCCAATTTAACCTATACCAATTTGTTTGACCAGATGGTTGACGCAGTTGTTTTCGCAATGAAAAAACTCGGGTACCTGGATGTTCGGATCTGGATTGCGGAAACGGGTTGGCCCAATGCCGGCGATATCGACCAAATCGGAGCCAACATTTACAATGCCGCTACTTACAACAGAAATGTTATCAAGAGACTAACTGCCAAGCCTGCAATCGGCACTCCGGCCCGTCCCGGATGGGTTCTCCCCTCTTTCATATTTGCTCTTTATAATGAGAACCAGAAACCGGGTCCCGGAACTGAGCGACATTTCGGGTTGTTGTATCCTAACGGGTCCTACTTGTACGGGATCGATTTGAGTGGAGAGACCCCGGATTCGGATTTCGAGCCGTTGCCGAAGCCTGATAATAATGAGCCGTATAAGGGGAAGATTTGGTGCGTGGCGGCTAGAGGAGTTAATGCGAGCGAATTGGCTTCTGCATTGTCGTATGCGTGTTCGCAGGGGAATAAAACTTGTGACCCGATTCAACCCGGCAAGAAATGCTTCAAACCCGATTCGTTGGTTTGGCGCGCGAGTTACGCGTTTAGTTCTTATTGGTCTCAGCTTAGAAATACTGGTGCGACCTGTTATTTTAACGGCTTGGCTACTCAGACGACTAAGGATCCAAGTAAGTTTATTTTCTTAATTTCAAGTTTTTTTTTATGGTCTAAAATTGATATTTTGTTGGATTTAGATTTAATCATTTTTGTATTTATGTTTATTTATTTTGTATTAAATATAATATAAAAATGATTATATTATAATTTTTATTTATATCAAATATATTTTTGTTTTTATTAAAATTTATTTTTATTTTTCATATCTATTTAGAATTATCAAATTTGATATAAATGTAATATGTAAAATTTAAAAAATAGAGTGAACGAAGTACAGTTTGTGTTTGAGATTTGTCAAGCTATTTGTTTTTTAATTTGTATGTATTCTATTTTTTGTTTTTCAGGTTTTGGACACTGTAAGTTTCCAAGTGTGACTCTTTGAAGTTTGAAGAAGCCTTACTCAGATTTTAGGAAGTCCTGTCGTACAGTGATTTGGGTTCCCCTTTGATTCATTTATATTGAAGAGAATGTGAGATAGTAATACAAAAAACCTCTCTAATTCAATCCTGATTTGGTCTTTTGCAATTTCATGATCAGTAAAATGGGCAACCAAATCACTTTGTTGTAATTTTAATTGTTATTTAATCTTAATCATTCTTATTTGTTAATGTTAGCTTTAGTCAACAAAGTACATATTATTTGTTGAAATTTATTGTTTGATGTGCTTTGTTGATCTATGTAGAGAAAGCTTCATTTCATCAACGGCTAATTGTTGTTCTTTATTTTTATGAGATGACATGGGTCCTGATGCCAACGGTTAGACAAGGGGGGCAACAACTTTCAACCTTTTAGCTTTTGGCAAGCTTAGGCTTTTTCATTTTTTTATAGGAAGGCTTTGGCCTTTTGGGTATCTCATTTCTCCTACAGAAGCTGCTTGTAGGTGTAGATAGTAGCAGTACTGCTAGTGCTGGATTGATGGGTTCTGGCATGCCTTTATTCCCTTTCCGAAAGCGACTCTCCTTAGAGCCCAGTCATGAGTCATCTTCACCCCATTCTCACCAGTCACACTCAGAGCCCTCTACTGAGAATTAATTTCTGCACCGTCCTTTGTCCTATTCCCATTTCCTTTGTATGATAGGACGCTAGAAGTAGGATTAGGGCTAGCAAACCGATTCTTACTCGTCAATGTAATCCGATCGATTTTATGAAATTAATTATTTTTAAAAATTTTAAATTTTGAATGAGATTAAATTATATATTTTTAAAAAAATTAAAATTGAATTTTATATAAACTCATTTTGTTTCGATTTAATATATATTATTTTTATTTAATTTTATATTTATATATTTATTTGAAAAATAATATTTTATATTAAAAATCATATTAAATAATATTTTATATTAAAAATAATTTACATTAAAAAATTTAATATTTTTAATTTTAAATTAATTCAAATCGATTATAAATTTAAATATATATAAATTAAATCAAATTTAAATTAAAAAATAATATTTTAATATTAAATTAAATTTAAATATTAAATTTATATAATCCAATCGAATTCAACACAAATAAAAAATTACTTTGATCCGATTTATTACCATTCATAAGTAAAAAAACAATGATTGATTGGGAAAGGCTAAATTTTTTCACACTCGTATGAGATTTTCCATAGCATAAGCAGTCATGATCGATCATTTTTTTAATTAGATTCTCTGCCTCCTTTCAAGCCTCTCCATTTGTTTATACAGCCACTAAAAGAGCGGAGTTCAAAGAAACCATACAAATTTACTTCAAAATAATTGATATCATGAGTTTTAATTATGATTTGCTTGCTCTGCTAAAGTCATCCCCCAACTCCAAAAGATCCAACACATCATTACATCATAAAAACTTTTTAGCAAAATGTGATTACTAAACTGCAGTAATGAAAGTGTGACCTAAAAGCAACTTCAGGATTGAAATGACATGTCCAATTGTGAGGAACCTTACTTGGGTTGGGTGTTAATTCAGCTAAAATATAAAAAGGGCCATGACATGTACAATGTGGATGCAACGTGGATGCCATGTGGTCTCTAGTCAGAGTAAGCTGGTTGGACAGATTATTCTTTCTTTTTAATATCTTTTTCTCTGCACCTTTTCCTGCGTTCGCCTTTCTTTCGGCCTTTTTTACTTTTAAAAAGGGCCAGGCCATCCAGGATCCAAGGCCGAAACCTTAGTTCATGATTGGCCATGTCTTAAAGTTTATTTAAATTTAATAAATTACTTGAATTCAATGATAATAAAATGAAATTTTATGATCATCCATAAACTCAGATTTAATAAATTAATTCTGCATTTTTTACGGGTAAATCATCCGTAATTTTTCTGGTTAATATGCATTTGGAGTTCCGTCGATCGAGAAGGGGGCACTGGTCTTGTTGCTTGATGTTACAGTCGGGGTTCAGAACCTCATCAATAACGGCAAGTGCCGGCCATTGCCTATTCTTATCTCCGGATTTTGCTTGCACTGGCCGTTATTTATTGGCATCAAAAATAGGGAATGACATTCAGCTTCCATATTTATGGACCCTGCCTCTGGAAAATTATGTTAGTTGAATTGGAGGATCATGTATAATTATATAATACCTGAGCTCAAAAAACGCAAGTAGTAAATGAAACCTTGATTGTTTTAAAATTTTGTAGTCAATCTATGCCTTTTATCAAACACGTTACTGCTGCTGCATTATTATTTTACAAAGAGCTGCAGCCTTTAATCTGAGACAGATTGCACCACATTTATCAGTTTATTCCTGACTGTCATCGCCTCTTCGGCATCTATGGTATTTTAAGCAACCACGATTGCAGCGGTTAGCGTGCTGGGAAGGGCTGTTTTTATCAGGATGGCACCCGGGATGTGGACCTCCAGGCCTTTGGCAAGGGTCAAAGACCCCTGCGTTGATGGGCATCCCAAATGCATCCACTTGGTTCACGACCCAAGCAAAATGACCAAGCCTCCATGATGGAGAATACAATGACTAATCAATACAGGCGATTAGATTTTTAGTTTTTTTTTTTTCACGTTTAGCGACGTTTGTCAAAACGCTTGTAAGAGTCTTACCTATTTTGTATTAGGAAAAAATAGTAACCTTTTAAAAAATATATTATTAATTTAGTGATATTTTTTACTATAAAAATCGTTAAATTTAACGATTTTTATAGTAAAAAATATCACTAAATTTAACGACGTTTATAATAGAAAGTGCAATTACATTTTAACATTTAACAGTATTTTTAGGCACAAACCTTACTAAATTAAAAATTTTATTTTTAAAATTTTTTTAATATTGATTATTATCATTAAATAAAAATATTAAAAGAAATAAAAACGAACTTAAATTCATAAACTGAATATTATAAATACATAATTTATTCTAATATAGATGTAATACAAAATTTAATACATGTAATAACATTAATTATTTTAGTACATTAACTAAAAATCTAATAAGAACAGAGATAACATCAACTAAGAATTTATGCAAATTTTAATCGAGTATTCATACATCTAGAAACTTCTAGTGTAATAGAGAAAAATTAAGTATGTGGCAAATACTTTATTTTGAAGTATTCACAAATGACTATATATGTCTTATTTTGATTTTCTTTCTTCTGTTGTTGATGATTTTCATCCATAACGAATCCTTTTAAGCAAGATTAAGTCGTTTCATCAAACATCATAATCTGAAAAAATAAATAAAACAAATGCTAAAATGAGATGAAAAAAAACATAATAAACTATTTCATAATGGTTTTCTAAGGATATCTTAAATGAATCAACAAATTCATGTTAACAAGTAACAATTTTTTAGTAATTTCAAAAGTATTCTGTTGAAAAAAAAACTAAACTTAAAATTTCATTCATGTTTGTAACTAAATTCAACGTTCAATTTCAAGTTTTTAAGAGAAAACCTTTTTTTTTTCACTTTTCTATTTTATCTTGAATTTTTCTCACAAACCAAATAAAACTAAACTCAAAATTACAATAATAAAATAAATTGGTAAAAAAAAAAGGGCCAAACACTGAAAATTGCTAATGTTAAAATGGAGCTTACCAATGAAACTTGAACAGCCGCAGAAGCGCAACAAATTAAACAAAAAGTTTAAAGATTTGACCAAATAAATTAAATAGTAAATTTAGGAATTTGACCTAAAATACAAGAAAGTTAACTAAAAATTTGCAAAAACAAAAAGTAAGAAAATGGAAATTGACCATAAAATGACTAAAACTTAGGCAAAAAAAAAAAAAAAACGACCCAAAATGAGCATAAATGGAAGAAATGAGTGGGAAAAAGAAAAGTAGAAAAGGGAATCTCGCGAGTTTGAAATTTTAAAAAAATTTAACAGCGAGAAAGTGTGATTATTAAAGGTTTTTTTGGTTAAAAATACTTTCAATAATTTCTTCAAATTGGAAGAGATTATTCAAAGCGTTTTTGACTAAAAACACCTTTAACAATCCTTTATTTTTTTTTTTTAGATTATTCAAAATAATTTTTTACCAAAAAATGCATAGAATAATTCATTACAAAAATTTGAATGAGATTATTTAAAGCATTTTTAGCTAAAAGCGTTTTTAATAATCCTTTCCAAATTTTTTTTGAAATATTCAAGTGTTTTTAACCAAAAAAACATTGAATAATCTCTTTTTATTTTTTTTGAAGATTATTCAAAGTATTGAATAATCTTTTTAATTAAATATCAAAGTATATAGTGACATTTAAGTTAACACATATTATAAAAATTTATTTTTAGTGACGTTTTTAAATCAAAATACTACTATAGAAGAATTTGGTGACGTTTTATAAAACAAAGGTTACGAACCTTATAAAAACACGAAACATTATGACGTTTATTTAAAAATGTTACTAAAAAATAGTCACTAAATCTCTATTTTTATGTAGTAAATCTTCATCTTTATTAAAATGGTTGTAGGGATATTGGGATATCACGTATACATTGGTTTTGAGTGAGATTCAAATTTAGAAAACGGCTTAAATTGCCGGATATTGTTTTGCCTTTTTTTGGGTTACAAGATTTGAATCCAAGCTTGGTATTGCTAAAAAAAAAAAATTCAAAAACAAATAATTTAAATTTAAATATTTAAACTTTTTTTACTACAGATTTCGTAAAAGCATAATGATAAAATTAACCCACGAATTATGCAAAATGTTTTTATATTAATCCCTTATCTTTAGATGATTTTTGAAGTATCTGTATTCGAACTCAATTATTTATCAAAATATTTGAATCCAATAATTATTTAAATATTTTTAATTTTTACTATATGAACAATATTCATATAATATAAAAATGCTTATTAATTATCCAAACTTATCAAATATTTTATTTCTTAAGTCAAAGTTTGACTTTAAATATATATTATAAAAATATTTAAATTAATAAATTAAGATTAACTCATAAAAAATAAATTATAATTAAGATATTTAATGAATTAATTTAATCAAATATTATATTAATAATATATATTTGTAAATAAAATATATAATATAAAAAATATATTTTTTATAATCAGATTCAAATAATGAGTATCCTAACATTACTATCCAAACTTTACTTGAATTCGAACGATAATTTTACCATCTGAATCCTATCCAATTTAATTATAAGATATTTTAATTCTGTTTAATTGGGTCAAATAATTTCGGATACTCGTTTATAGGCTACCTATATCCTCACTACTTTTATATTGATCACTTGAGCAATCTCTCTTTAATTTTTAAGAAATTCATAATCTTTGAAAGAAGTTCAAAGTATCCTGGAATGATCCAGTGCAAAACAGAAAATTCATAACGCGGCTCGATTAGCTTGGGAAAATATTTTTCAATCCTTATTTCCACTTTTATGCTAGCTATAATCAATAAAATAAGATAAATGAGTTTAAAAACTCCTTTTCTTTGTACTTTATGAAATTTAGGGTAATTATTTTACTTCAGATTAATATTATAAATGATTATTAAATTATAACAAAATATGTAATTTAATATTTAAATTTTAAAAAATTTATAATTTAATATTTAAATTATAAAATTATTAATTAACATAACATTTAAATAATTATTTATCCATCATATTTTATCATTTAAAATTAATTATATTAAAAATAAATATCACATTAATTAATAAATTTATAATTTAAATATAAATTTAAAATTGACATTAAATATTTTATAATAATATAAATATTATTTATTATATTAATCATTTATTTTTTTATCGATAGAATAGATGTCATCACATTTATTGATTATACCTTTTATGCGTGTCGTCAACCACTTAGCATGTAAGGTCTGTGAAACTGTTGGTGTTAATAAACCATAATTTACGCAAAAATTTATGCAACTACTTAAATAATATATGATAAATCTAAAATTTAAATATTAATATTTATAATTTTTCTCTCATTTTTAAATTCATCTTTTTGTATGAAAAAATAAAAATCCTAAAACTTAGGCCCAGCGAAGTAGGTTGGACCTTGAAAGACAAGCCCCAAGTTCATCATAGGTACATAAAACATTAGATAATCATTGTCATGTTCAGTAATGGACCGTCGATAATTCACATATATAATAGTAATAAAAAAGTGAGCTGGCCAAGTGATTAAACTTATCGGTTAAGGTGCAATATTTTATCCTTTCAATTTAAAAAAAAATAATTGGTCACAGAGAGCAATGATTGGAGGACAAGATTACTATAATAACCTAACCGTACTTATCAAAACCTCCGGCTTTTTTCAATTGGTGTAACACAGAGGCGTCAAACTCAATCAATACGAAACTCAAATACTATGGGTGCCTTTGGTTTGGTTTGCTGTCCATTTTGTCCCCTCTTTCTCTGCCTTCATTCTTCTTATCCCATCCCCAAAATTTCAGTCATTGCCTTCTTGATCTTTCCTTCTATCGCTACTTTCCATAAATCAGTTTATTCGAACGAGACGATAATATAATATAATAATAATAAAATTTAAATTTAATAAAAAAAATTACATTTAATAATACAAACCTTAATAAAATAAATTTTATATTTCATGAATATATAACACAAAATAAACCAATACACAAATATATATAATGCCAAATCAATTTGAACCTATTATATGCTCATAAGTCATAGGGATAATAATAGTTTTGTTTGAATAAAATTTGATTTAATTTTTTTAAATATTATATAATGTTATAAAAATTTAAAATTTAATTTAAATTTAAATTTTATTTTATTTGAATCAAATCGAATAAAATTTTATTTATTAATTTTTATATATTATTTTAATATAAAATTTTAATATATTTAAGTAATTTTTAATATAAATTTATTATTTTTTATAAAATTAAAATATATAAAAATTAAAAATATATATAAAATTCGATTCGATTTAATTTTTTTAATTTAAAATATAATTTAAACTTAATATATATTTAATATTTAAAATTAATCTTAATCAAATAAAAAATAAATCAATTTAGCTGAATCAAATATTATAATTTCAAATCTATTTTTGAATTTTATGATTTTTTTTCTCAACTTACCATGACCCACAAAATTGATTTTTTTTTCTTTTGCCTCTTTTCTCTTTTGGGACCTTATTGAGTTATCGGTCATTGTTCTTCTAATAACAAAGATCTGCTCAAATCCGGGCCCATTTGCCACCAATCATTTTCTCAACGTGGCTAGTTGTACAAACATTGACATCCAGCTCAAGTAGCCATAACAATTTCTCATCTTTTTTTATTGTTTATCTAAAAAAAGTTTGGTGTTCAGTCCAAAAAAGCCATCAAAACCCTATCCAAAGGAGATCTTTTTAAGCAAGGCTAACAGCCATAAAACCATAAACCTTACCTCCTCTTTTCTTCTCCTACAAAAAAAAAAGATCTCCCATAATTTCAGCGGATTCCATCTGGGGTTCTCCTTCACAGTTAATGGACCATAGTCTCTCCCTCCACAAAGCCTCTTTTGTCTCGTCTTTTTTACCATCCGCGGTAAAAAACTCCCAGGGGCCCTACGTCTTTACCCCTCGGAATTTACCTTCCAACTTTACTTCTTCGCACCGGAGACGACTTACGACTGGCTTTTCTTCTACTGCTTTCAGTAATCGGAAGGAACCATCGGTCAAAGCCAGCGCCGGGGCTAGCCACTGCGACTTTAGCAGCTTGAACGCGCCTCTTGAGCCAAGGTCTGCTCCGGGGAAGTTATTAAGCAGCGTTCTTCAGAACCAACGACAGTTCTTTCACTTCGCCGCCGCCGATGAACTTAAACGGCTAGCCTGTGATCGTGACGCCGCCGTCGCTCGTATGTCTCTCAGCTTGAATTCTGATGAAGCTTGTCTTCACAGGTTTGTATTACAGTTGGGTTTCTTTATTATACTAAAAAAATTCTTAACTTTTATTTGTTCTTTGAAGGGGTTATTTTAGGTTGATAAGATGTGACTAGGGAAGTTTTAATTTTTGCTGGTTAGTATTGGAATGTTTGTTTTTGTGGAATTCATCTTTGATTTAGCAATGACGCCAATTGATTTCAATTTTTATTCAAATCCCTTGGACATTGGAATGTCAAGCCAAGAATGTTTTGAATTGAATTGAACTCTAATTATATGGTAGTATGCTTGTTTAATCATTTGTAGTCTTGGTCTGCTAAATGAGATCCATCAGATGAAGAGTCTTTTTTGATTGATGGGTTCCTTTGGTTACTTACAATCTGAGAAGAAAGTCATGAAAATTGCATGGACTTCAAGGTCATTAATGATGGATCATTCATGATATGAATAGTTCGGTATGAACAAGGGTCAGATATTTCAGTCTCATGTATGGCTTTGTGCTTTAGAGATGTTATTGTTCCTAATGCCTTGAAGATTGACTGACTCTAAGACTATGGTAAGCCTTTTGAATAAGAAAGTTGTTTGACCATAATTTTTCTAGAGTCAGTGGTATTACCAAAGTTATTTGGCTTTATCTCTTGTTTGGCTTTGCAACACATCTATTTGGGCATGTGTGAAATCCATTGAATATGCATCAATTCTTTTATTTAATTATTTTACAGTCACGTTTATTTTGGGTATCCTTCATGTCTATCAACTTCTCTTTCATAATATACTATTAAAGAATCCATCTATATTATCTTTCCACAATACAGTATCTGAGGATATGTTCCTACTTAAATATTTCCCAGCTGATGCTCTACTTGTAGTGAAGCCTACTTGGTAAAGATGAAGCATTGCCACGTCTTATTGAGGCTGAAAGTCATATGATGTGAAAATCACAAACAGTGGGCTCATCTTTGCCAAGGCTACAGCTAGCGATTATGCTTTCTTCATTCTGTTATTATTCTCAAGGCTGAACACATTAACTATTGAAGCTTATTATTCAGTTCTTTCCCTCTTTACATTAATTGTGGTCATTATATTTCACTTGTAATTTTAAGCTATGAAAAGCTTGGGAAACTTATTGATATTTATAAACAGATAAGAACCACTCATTCCTTAAGAGTCTCACAAAGGCAACCTGCTAATGGGTTTTATCAAGTTTTATGTTCCCTTCGGTCTAATGCAACTAAATCATGTCTGGTAATAGAATGGAAGTACGTAAAATCTTTGGTTACATGCTTATTGGATACTTGTTCCCCAATAGATGCTTATTGGATACTTCTTCCCCTGTTCTATTGCCGATTTCATCTTTCTTCTGATAAATATGTAATTAGTAATTGGTATGCAAGTAATCTTTCTTTTTTTTTCAGTTCATGCTGTGATCATAGGTTAACTTGTTAGTTTGTGGAACTCTTCTGTTGGTTTGGATTAGAAATGATGTTTATTGTATTTTATGTTTTATGGTGATATCAATTAGACTTTCTGGCATATTGTGCTGAAAGGGAGCTCTCCAAATCCCTCGCTTGACATGTTTTACGATGCACCCAGGCGATGGTTGTAATGGTATTAACCACCAATGAAGTAGGTGTTATTTTAGCTGGCAATATTATCATTCTAATAAATGAGCTGCCATTGGAATACCTCAAAATTTGTATGTTGGTTACTTTGACTCTGTAGATGGTTAGTATCACATTCTCTTAATTTTTTTTCCTTTTTTGACCTAATTAGATTTTCCTAAATGCCAGAAGGATTGCTCAAGTGAAAGAGCACGACTGCCAAGCTGCTGTGGAAGATGTTATTTATATGTTAATCTTCTACAAATTCTCCGAAATCAGAGTACCATTGGTTCCAAGGCTCTCCAGGTGCATTTACAATGATAGACTTGAGATATGGCCTTCAAAAGACTGGGAGCTAGAGTCCATCCATAGCATTGAGGTTTTGGAGATGGTTAAGGAACATGTCAGTACTGTTATTGGCTTGAGAGCAAACTCCAGTGTTACAGACAACTGGGCTACTACAAAGATCCAACGGCTCCAACTAGGCCGAGTTTATGCAGCCTCCATCTTGTATGGTTATTTTCTCAAGTCTGCATCCTCTAGACACAAACTGGAAAGATGCCTAACTTTGGCTCATGAAGAGCGTCTGAATCATAGGAACTCCCTTCAGTTTCCAGATCTGTTACCTTGTGGATTTAAGAGTCTCATATTTGGTCATGTTAGTGACATGCAATCTGTTTCATTGGGTAAAGGACCAGTTAGACAGGAAAAGAATCTTGAAGAACTAAGGTGTTATGTGATGGGATTTGACCCTGAGACGTTGCAGAGGTGTGCCAAGCTGAAATCCAAAGAGGCTGTCAGTTTGATCGAGAAGCACAGCTGTGCACTCTTCGGAGATGAGCAGACAGGTATGCTGGAGACTGATGAGGTGATTCTGACTTCTTTTTCAAGCCTTAAGAGGTTAGTTTTGGAAGCTGTTGCCTTTGGTTCTTTTCTTTGGGAGATAGAAGAATATGTTGACACCGTATATAAGCTGAAGGACAACTGACTGGGGAGAAGGGGAAGTTATAGCACTTGAGTAAAGTCTCTTTGTACAGAGGAGTTATATTTTCTACTTCGTTTCTTTGGTCTGCAAGCACTCGGCAATTCGCATTGTACAGTATAAGTTGGTATCATTAAATAATGTACAGTATAAAACTTTTCTACTGTCTCTAGTTGCAGTGGTTGAGCAATCATCGTTATGTGTAACATTTTGTAATTAGTACATCAATGAGATCATTCTACTTGCTTTCTACGCGTTTGATGACAAAATATGAGAGTTAAGCGAACCAGTTGTAGTTAATGTTCCTGCTCAACGGCATAGATGTAAAAATGTCAAAGTGTAAATGCGTAGTTTAGAATTCTGGGGGTTTATTTTAATTAAGAAAGTTTCAGAGATGTGTTGAGATTGTCTCTTCTAGACTTGCACCGATACCTAATAACAGTGTTCTGTTGAATTAATTCTATGCATTAATGTGTCGGCTATTGGGATTTTTTGCATCTTTCTCTGTTCATGTTTATACTGATTGAGTTGAGTGATTCATAGTTTTCCTATAAAGTCACTACAAGAAAAAATTTCTTCTCCCAGACTCCATTTATTGTGCACTGAGGAATGAGGATCTCATCAAAGCCGGATTCTCCTTTGCCAATATATCATAACCATCAAGGTAATGATTGAAGATGCTTTCTTTCTTTATTTCCTCTTGTTTTCCATTAAGGGGGATTCGGACTTGGATACTTAATCTATCTTTAAGCCAAGTGCTTAGGTGGGTATTTATTTCACTCTATATTGTGTCTCTCTACCAGGTTATATGCATGTAGTTTTGGGGCTGATCTTCAATATCCAAAACTCCGGTGGAGGGGAGAGTGATCCATTGAAAATTCAATGTTCAACCCAGAAAACGTTTAAAAAGAAAAAAAAAAAAGGGGTTTAGCGTGGCAAGATGTTTGGAATTGACAGTCCTTTCTTAGCTCCTATTTGAAACCTGGATTGGAAGCACAGCCACTTCAAGTAACCTAAATTACCATTGCTTAGAAACCTGGATTGGAACTCCCTCCACTTCAAGTAATTAACCTATTAACATGGATGATCACTTTCTTTTGAAGCAACTTGCTGTTTTAAAAATTCTCGAAACTTTTAAAATCATGTTTCTCTAACATCTGATGCTGCTTCTGCTTTAGATATTGTTACCTATAGTTGACTTGGAAAATGGGTTTAAAATGGTACAGAGTCAATAAGTCATTTTATAAATAATTTTCTAAGCTGTGAACTTTGGCAATTCATGAAGTCCTCCCTCAAGTCTTTAACAATAATAGTTGAGATCTCATGTCTGATGCAATCAAGTTTTGATTAACATAGTCAAGAAAATTGTACCCTTCCTACACGGCTTTGATCAATAATAGAGCAACACTTTTTGAAAGCCAAATGTGATTTAGTTTCGTCTGAATTTCCAAGAAGTGAAGACAACTACTCCATATAATACCACGCGTAACAGATCATCTGATGACCAAGTTTCACCTTTCAACGGTCCATATAGTAATAAAAATACTTCCTACATCACTTTGGAAATTTTGCACCAAGTGAAGCTTCCATAGAAAACTACTTGATCTCTTCTTCTTCATTCCCTTCATTCTCAAGTTTTAGTTTTTTATTTTTTCCTCTTTTGTTGCTTTCAGAACAATTAGCAGAAGATGTTAGCTCTCCTTCTCAAACTCATTTTTTCCACAGTCAGTACGTTATCAAACCTGGTTACTCGCTTAATCTTCACCGCCACAGCTTACTTTCTTGTGTTATTGATCCATGTTTTCAAGGTACCTGGTGAAGCCCTCGGGGTTGCTTTAGAAAAACTTGCGGAAGCCATCGAGTCATGTTTCGACTACTTCCTAGAGCTGATTATAGAGCTAACAGGCTCTCTCATCTCTTCCGTTTTTAATCTTTTTACAGAAGCTGTTACGTCGTTTGTTTCTGCTTCCGGGGAAGCTTTTGGTACACTTGTGGAGAAGACACGAACATCCCTTGAAGAGTTGTTAACAGACATACCAGAGATTGTTGAAGGGTTTGCAGAGATGATTTCGACTGTGGTGATAGATTTGTGGAATAATACCAAGTATGCTTTGGGATATGTTACGGAAAATGCTTGATTCTGTGTAAGCACAAAATATCAGGTTGCTTGGTTGTTATATAAAATTTTTAGGATAAAATACCAACAATTTTGTCTCGGAAAACTAAATGCTTTCCATCAATCTCTTGACCAAAGTTTAACGGTTTATGCCTTTGATCATTGTTATTTTATATTTAAGAAAAGACCATGCTTTGGTGTTCTTGTTTACTGTTCTTGTTTATGAAAATGACCCACGTTTACAAGGAAGAAGAGGCACCTTAAGGCACGAAAAGGAAATGAATCTATACGCCATAGACAAAAACACACAATTTTGTGTTGTATGGGATGTCTGTTTTCTTGGACAAGTCCACGTTGACCATAAGAATGTGCTAGATCTCACAGGGCACCTCAAAACAATTTGAGGTTGTTCCATTTTAGGGAAATAATTGAATCAGCATTTGGTCTGAAATTTAGTATTAGAATGGAAAATTCTTTCATGCTAAAGTTGAAAGTGTGCAGCAAAAAAAACTCTATAACAAAGACCCGAAATTTTAACCGACAACTCGAAAATTTCAACATTTTCATTTTTTTTAGCCAGAAAATTTCAACATTTTCTAGGATATTGAAAACAATCCCAAAATTAAAAGAAAATAGCATATAAAAATTCAAACCTCAACCACGGCAAAAACTTCTTGGCACAAAAAAAAAAAAAAAAACACCCAAGGCAACAACCTTACGTTGGGAAAAAAACAATTTTTGATATGCAACCACACGACTCTAGTTGGAATTTTTTTTTTCTTGCCATTTGTTAAGACTGTTGGATACTGTTTTTTGTCTGGCTGGCGTATAGGAAAATGTTGACATAAAATAATATTACTGGACGGAGCTATGAATGATTCCCTATAATAATGTCGCTCGTATTGGTAAATCAACTTTTAGGCTTCACTTTTTAGGATGTAAAGAAAAATAAAAAAAATTAAAAATTAAAAGAAAAAAAGTAGAAAGATAAATACATATTTTTTATTGGTGTTTTTGGTTGAAAAGATTAAAAAAAATTAAAAATTTTAATTTTCTTATCTATTATTTGTTAGAGTCAAAAAAATAAAAAAAAAAAATGATATGATTTTATCATTATAATTTAAGATGAAAAAAAATATAAATACGATTGACAATTTTATAAATAAAAATATATGTTCACATCATAAATTTTTTAATTTAAAATAATTTATTTTTATTAATAAATGTAAAAAATATAATCTTTTTAATTTTTTCTCTCATTTTTTTTCTTATCAAACAACTTAAAATTCATTTCCTTCTATCTTTCTTCATCTTTTCACTTTTCAGTTCTACCGACCAAAACCTTGGAATCCACCAATTTCACCGAAACTTAGTAAAAAAAAATCTATTCGAAAGATTTTCCTGCAAAATTGTTAAGTGGTATATCGGTCAATTTATCCGTAGTCCCCCGTTTGGTTATCTGGTTACTACAAATCCAATAACGCCTTCCGTATTTATCCTTCTCAGTTCACATTTTTTGCCTTGCATTACGGCATACTTAAAAAAGAGCTTCGTTTTTATCTCCTCTCACAAGAAAATGGCTGAGAATCTGATGCATGCAATTCAATATAGTAGTTATGGCGGAGGAGCTGCTGGTTTGAAGGTAATCTAGATTGTATTTTTTCGCTTTCGTTAGTAAATACTTTATCATATTATTTTCTGGGTTCAAATATTTTTTCATGTTTAAGATGGACGTTTCAGTAAAGGTTGTTAATATAGTGCTTGTATATATTGATCAAGGAAGGGGGAAGAAGGTTTTCAAAAATTTATCATCTTATTAGTGATTGAAAGCATCCAGATAATTTGTACAAGGGCCGGAAGGCACTAGGAAAGTTGAGAGGTTGGCACTTGACACCACTTGACAGCGAATTGTGTTAAACATATTTTGGCAAATGTGTTTCCAGCATTTTCTTGCTTGGTTAACTTGAAAAATTATTGCCAGTGACTCGATGTCATAACGGCTGTGACTTTGATATGCCTGTTGCAGCATGTTGAAGTTCCGGTTCCCACTCCAAAAAAAGATGAAGTTTTGCTAAAACTGGAGGCAACTAGTCTAAATCCAGTTGACTGGAAGATGCAGAAAGGGATGCTGCGCCCACTTTTTCCTCGCAAATTCCCCTACATACCTGGTAGTTTACTCTTTTTTTTTCTTGCCTTTTGGCCGCTTCAAAACGTAAAGACTTAATATCTTAAGAGCAAACTTGGTTCGCTATCATTTATCATTAGCAAATTATATTAAAAGTATCCAACTTTAGATCATCAGTAAGGACTGCCGTTTTCTTTCTGCTGATATTTCGGTTGCATCTTTTCAATCATTGGCTAAAGATTTTTTTTTTTTTTGAGCAGGTACTGATGTAGCAGGAGAAGTCATAAAGATTGGATCCGCAGTCAAGAATTATAAAGCTGGGGATAAAGTTGTGGCTCTACTTAGCCATTCTGTAAGTTATTCTTTTCTTTTTCTTGTTAAAATTTCAATAAGCATAAAAGCCCAATCTAGCAGGCTCTCAACTAGCATGTCCTTGATCACTCTGAGAATAATCACAAAAGGAGATTTCTTCGTGGAAGAAGCACTAGCACTTTACTAGCATAATAGATAAATATTTAGAAAGATTAACTTTTAAAATGGTAAGCCTTTCTTTGAAAACATTTGGCTTTGCATCTTTGCTTCTATTAATGGTGTTGCTTGAGGGAAACGTATGTATGTTTCATGTTCCACTGGCCTATTTGTTGGTTCAAGCTATAGGAACATACCCAATCCCCGATTTTTTGCACGTTCTTACTTTTCATATTCAGTTCTATCATGTTTTGAATGCAATCATCCTTTGTCTATGTGACGTCTATCATTTCTTGGGAAGTGATTTGATTTTACAATCACTATGTGAAGCATTTGGCTGAGAGAAGACCTAGATATCATTACTGTGGGCCAGTAGTATGGTGATTTTATTTTGTATTTTCAGCAATTCAGCATCATTTATGTCATCTGCTATGGTCATCTTCTATTATGAAATATATTTTTGCAATGACAGAGTGGAGGTGGACTAGCTGAATTTGCTGTGGCTAAGGAAAGTTTGACAGTTGCAAGGACTCCAGAAGTATCGGCTGCTGAAGGTGCAGGTTTGCCCGTTGCTGGTCTCACAGCTTACCAGGCACTCAACCAGTTTGCTGGGGTCAAGCTTGATGGAAGTGGCCAACAAGTAAACCTCCTGATTACTGCTGCTTCAGGTGGCGTAGGTCAATATGCACTTCAACTGGCAAAGCTTGGAAACACACATGTAACAGCCACTTGTGGGGCTCGTAACATGGATTTAGTCAAGAGCCTGGGGGCCGATGAGGTTCTTGACTACAAGACTCCTGATGGTGCAGCTCTGAAGAGCCCTTCTGGTCGCAAATACGATGCAGTAATCCACTGTGCAACGGGCATTCCTTGGTCTACCTTTGAGCCTAATTTGAGTGCAAAGGGGAAGGTAATAGATATTACTCCTGATGCAAGTGCTGTGATGACTTTTGTTCTGAAAATGCTTACCTTCTCCAATAAGCGGCTGGTACCACTGCTTATGATACCTAAGAGGAAGAACCTTGATTATCTTGTTAAGTTGGTGAAAGAAGGCAAGATTAAGACAGTAATTGATTCAAAGCATCTTCTAAGTAGGGCTGAAGACGCATGGGCCAAGAGCATTGATGGCCATGCCACTGGGAAGATTATTGTGGAGCCTTAGTTCATGGAGATTACTTGATACTTGCAGTAGATGTTTATATTCATAAGCACTCAGTACTTTGAACAATGCAAATGTTGTTGTGAGTTTTTCTCGTATCTTTTGCTTGAAATTGATTGAGATCACGGCCTGGTTACCATTACTAGTGAAAGCTTGCATCAAAATTTAGCTTTAAATTCTTTTTGGGTAAAAATAACTGAAATTTACATATTAACAGCATTAATCTGTTTATAAAATTTATATTGAATTAAATTTTTTATTTTTAAATTGAATAAATTTTATTAATCAAATCAATTCATTTAATAAAAATCTTTTAATGGAATTAAAATTCTTATTCATAATTTCAATGAATCTCATCACTAATATTTATACTACAAAATATTAAAATTTGTAATTTAAAAATATAATAAACAAAATATAGATTTTTACCCATTCAAAAGTTTTTAATATTTGTGCTTGTAGATAATACAGATGAATATAGTGTTTGTAGCCCAACCTTCTACCTGTAGTTGTCAAGATTTAATTTGTTTATGGAATCTTATCTTTATCAATTATATTTATTTTTAAATCAATCAATATAATATTTGCACGAACACTTAAAAATTATGAGATTAAAAAAAATTATAAGCATAATGTTTTTTTAATTTAATTTGAATTTAAAAGAATTTATAAACGTAATATTTTTTTAATCAAGTAAATATAAAAATAAAAAAACTTAAAAAAAGTTCAGTCTCTATCAAATGAAGGATCCATGACAAAAGAAATTAGTGTTTATCGCAAGATCTTATATATTCTATTTGTTCCCTGTTTCAATGGTCCGCCACAAGTTAATAACCATTGTCCACATAGTACAAATCAAAAGAGGCTTATACCAAAAGAAAGTATACAATAAAAGAGGGTATTATGACTAAAATTAATACACTCTTATCCAAAATGCTTAAAATAAGAATTAATCAATGTCAGAAAGTTACATTTTCCTACTACTCAAACACTTTAACAAGGTGCAAAATCAACATCTCCTGCTTAAACATTAAACAATGATATTTGAAAGTGAATTTTCCCAACCCACAAATTTTCTTTTCCAAGATTAAGGTTCCATCTTCCACACAATTTGTGCTTCACTTATTTTTTTAGGCTTTGTTAAGAGAAAAAAAAAGGTATAGGAAGAAAAAGAGTGGTTCTTTCCATCATTTCATTGGTTTGAAGAAAGGATGAAAAAAATAGTGAATTTGCACCTTTTTATTCTTTTTAAATTCAATCCCTTCAAATATAAAAAGAAAACTCATTTAACTTAAGTTAATAATTTTATTTATAATTTTTTTATTTCTCTATTTTCCATTAGCCATAATAAACATAACAAAAAAATAATGTTATTTTCTCTCATTCCTTTTATTTTTTTCTCATTTTTTTTCATTCATTCAAAATGTTTTCCTTCCTACCAAATATACTGTCAATCTCTCTTTGTATCCGAAAAAACTAAAATCAATGCAGTCTTAATCAAAGTAAGGGTGTTTTTGTATGAACGCCAATAACCCCTCAAAATACTACTTATGCTTTAGTGGTTTTCATCTCATCCCATATGAACTTGCCTATTTATTTACATGGAAAGAAATAGTTAGAGATGGTAACGCGTCGAGGTGAGTCAAGTGTTTACTCACCTCGATTCCAATCCAATCTTATATGATAAAAATTTTAATTTAATCTGATTTAATATTAAAATATTATTTTTTATATTCGATTTTAGTTCGACTTATATATGCATAAAAGTACAATTAATTCGATTTGAAATTAATAAAATATAATTTTTAAAATAATATAATATTAAATAAATGTAAAATTCTCAAAAACTTAATTTTAAAAAAGAAAATATAAAGTTAGAGTGAATCGAAACTTCATGGATTTAAATTGAATTACCAACCTTACAAATAGCCAACCTTTTATCTGATTTCACTCTTAGCCCGGTCAATGAAAAAGCAATTACTACAACAAAAGTATTTTATCAGCAATTGAGAAAAAAAATAACAAATAAAAAATTTTGGCTCAAGGTATTATTTTGTTTTAATTTGTTTTCTCCATTTAAAAAGAAATTTTATCATCTTATATATTAATAACAAAATTTTTAAATTTCGCTACTGAAATTAAATAAAAGACTATTGCATATATATGTTTTATATATTTATTTAAAAAGATTAATAAACTTTATAACAATTAAATAAAAATATGACAACATACTAATTTCATTTATAAAATTTATAAACTATATCATCCACTATATATAATTATAATTTTGAAAAAATACTTATTAAACTTCTACAACCTAACAATTCCACACCTACACGCCAAATTCAAAAAAATTCCAGTCTCGTGTGGAGAAATTTCATGTCTGGTTACTATAAATTCAAGAATTTACCTGCAAATAAACCATCCGATAACGCCTCCTGCTCCTTCCCTCTCTCTCTTTCTCTATTACTCACTCGTTCCCTTTTGCCTTGCAATAAACTTAAAAGGAGCTTTCACACACAGAAAAAAAGGGCTAAGAATCCGATGCATGCTGTTCAATATAAACGTTATGGCGGAGGTGCTGATGGTTTAAAGGCAAACTACTTGATTCTTTGATTATGTTATTTTTGTTGCTTCTTTATTTTTTTAATTACTATTTTATCTAATTTTTCGGGCTAAAAAGTTAAAATAAAAGGAATATTTTTTCATGTTTAAAATGAATATTTAATTGAAAGTTGTTTATCTAGCTAGCCATTAATGGGAAGGGAAAGAGAGGTATTAAAATTAGTTAAAATTTCAATTTAGGATCAAAATTTTGTCCGGTTGCTCGTATAAGAATAAAAAAAATTAATTCAGCCAAATAATAATTAAATATCTTAGAATTTTAACAAATGAAAATTATCTTTTACAGAAATAAATAGGGCTAAATATTGATTTAGTTCTTATAACTTTTGTAAGTTTGATATATAATTTAAATTCGTAATTAAGTATTAAAAATTTAATTCCATCAAGTTCTTTAGTATTTTAAATTAATATTATTATTTAACTTATTGATGTAGTTTGCATATTTGATAAAATCATGACATATAATAAAAAAGCCATATCATTAATAAATTCATAATATGATGAGAAAAAATTAAAAAAATTTAAAATTTCAATAAAAATATAATTTTTTATAAAAATTTAAAAGAAAAAATAAAAACATAAAAATTAAAAATTAAAACAATAAAAAAATTAAAAATTATTAATACGACGTAACATTTTTTGTGTATAATAGTTTTATAAACTGTTTATGTCACTTCAATAAATTAATTAAAAATATTAATATGAAATATTAAAATACATGATATAATAAAAATTTAAATACCTTTTTTAATTATAAAAATTTAAGTACTTAATTACAAACTTTAATTCTTTAAATACTTAATTGATAAAAATTATATAATAATACGAACTACAAAGGCCAAATCGATATTTATCCCAAATAACTATGTGCACATTAGGCGCGGTAACGACATTTTAAAATCTGTTGCTACATGTATTTTTTGCACGTGCGGCTAGCCGTCACAGCCGCCGTTGCTACTCTTCTACTTTCTCCCTCCATCTTTCTTCTTTTTTTTTTTTCCCACTTTTCACCTCTCTTTCGATCAAGTCCCCTTTTATTGTCTATCAATTTATCCCCTTACTTTCTCTAGATTGAAACCCCTTTGTGCCTTTTCTCTCTCTCTTTTGTAATTTCTGTTTTTCACTTATTGCCCAGATCCCCTTTTGCCTGCTTTCCACCGTTGTTCCTGGCTGCGCCGCCTTTCGCTACCGCTCTTCCTTCCTTCGAGATCAGGACTCTGGATTTATCCACTCCAAATTTCTATTTAATTTTTTGCCTCTCTCCCTTTTTTACTTTCAAACTTTCTCTAGGCTTTCAATTACAGGTGAAATCGAAAAGGGACAAGAATTTTGGATGTTTATTAAGTTGGGTTTTTGAGGTTTGGGTCCGAAGATCTAACTGATTCTTAGGTTTGATTTTCTGGAGGCTTGAGTCTCAACGCCTAATTTATTCCTTCACTATCATGGAAAAGAATAAACTAATCTGGAGATCAAAGTTTAATCTTTCTTCAATTCATCAATTGATTCTACTAGCATGGAAACAGATGATGTTTGATGGGAATTTCCATTTTTTTATTTGGAAGGAGAGAAAATTCTTCGCAAAAAATAATATAAATAAATGATCTCAAATGACACGAATGCTTATATTCTGGCATCCAATTCTAGAATGGAATTTTCCTTCTTTAAAAAACTTCAAAAATTTGCCAATGACTTTATGTCATAAAGGCTGTGAATTTGTTGCGTGTTGCAGCATGTTGAAGTTCCGATTCCCACTCCAAAAAAGGATGAAGTTTTGCTAAAACTGGAGGCTGCGAGTATAAATCCAATAGACTGGAAAATACAGAAAGGGATGCTGCGCCCTTTTTTACCTCGCAAATTCCCCTACACACCTGGTACTTTACTTTTCTCTTGCAGCTGTTTCATAGTTTATCATCTGCAAACTATATTAAAAGTATCCAACTTTAAATCATCAGTAACCATTGCAGTTTTCTTTCTGCTAATATTTTTATTACCTTTTTTCAATCATTGGCTAAAGAACTTTTGTTGGAGCAGTCACCGATGTAGCAGGAGAAGTAATAAAGGTTGGATCAGGAGTCAAGAATTACAAAGCTGGGGATAAAGTTGTGGCTGTACTTGTAAGTTGTCATCCGTTTTCTTCTGTTTTTTTTTTTTTTTTTTTTTGTTTCAAATTTTCAATCATCATAAAAATATCAGGCTCTCCACTGGAGAGATACTATCGTATCTTATTAATGTGAATGATTGTCTATTTTTTTTATACAAGTTGTATGGTGGAATGTCACTAATCATTATGAGAATAATCAGAAAAGGAGATTTCTTCGTGAAGAGTGGAAGAAACACTAGCAATGTGCTAGCATAATAGATAAAGATTTGGATAATAGTTGATGGCATTTGTGTTTTTGGGTCATAGCTCAAGCAATTAATTGGGAGCTGAAGTTGGGTAGGACTCATAGTGCAATCAAAATAATAGTTGAAAAAAAATGGAATCCCATATAGCCAAATAATCCACTCAGAATCCAATAATTGAATAACAGTAGTAAATCATAGACCCTTATAAAGTATTTTCAAGGACCGGTGCTAGAATTGTTGTTCCAAATGAACCACGTCAGTCTTCCAATGAATAACCTTAATTAATTCTAGTCATGGCATCTGGTGGGCATTGCCCTGCTTCCCTGTTTTGATGAATCAGATAAAATGAAAGCTACGTGTCATGTCTTCCCAGAATATTAAATGCTGTTATATTGCTGACCATGGGATGCTTTCCTTGTAGATTAGAAAGATTAACTTTTTAAACGGTAAGCCTATAGTTTAATACTTTCGGCTTTCCATTTTATTTTATTTTTGGATAAACTGAATTTTTATTCATCCAAAGTCAGCAGGAATCTGCTACAATATAACCATTCTACAACTTAACAAACAGAGGAAAAACAATTCGTTAACAGCTTATTCTAAAAATTCTACATTCAGATTCTAATCTTCTCTAAGTTTTTTGTTTATCATATCTCCTGCAATATGTTTCAATCCATGCAGCCTGTACCTTACAATTTCCTTGACTTTGTTCACCATTTGTGCAGTCGTCATCTCCCTTTGCTTAAATATCCTCTGATTCCTTTCTCCCCATATGAAATATATACATGCGTTCCAGGCAATTCTCAATAGAATTGAGATCAAAGCTTTTCCTTTTAATCTGTTTTCTGCCCAACTTAGTTCTGTGTCCCAATTTCCTACTCTTTTATCAATGTTGCACAGCTGAAGGACCTTTTGCCAAACTTCTATTGTATAGACACTTAAAGTAAACATGGTCTCTTGTTTCATCTTCATTGTGGCATAAGTTGCATCTACTATCAATTCCCATTCCCCATGATCGCAACTTATCCTTCATTGGAAGTCTATTTAAGATCGCCATCCACGTTATTAGTGAATGTTTTGGGATGTGATATTTGAACCATATTAGTTTTTGCCATCCCACTTTCCGTTGTTGTGGTCTGATCTTTTCCCATACCATGGCAGTGTCATACCGTCCTTTTGGAAATGGCCATACCTCCACTCCGTTTTCCTTTTTGATGAACTTTTGCGCGATTTGCCTTATTTGAAGCAATTTTCTCCAATTCCAACTGCTAGTTTGCTTGGCAGCTGCTTGCCATATGGTCTTCCCTTCCAATTCATAAGCTTCGATCCAAGCGATCCATAAAAAACCAGCTTTTGCAATTATCGACCAGATGTTCTGCAAGACACAAGCTAGATTCCAGGTCAAGATATCTTTAAATCCAAGCCCTCCCTCAGACTTAGGATAGCATATTGCCTTCCAACTTACTCTAGCTCCTTTTGCTGATCCTTCATTTCCTTTCCAAAAGAAACCAGAACATAACTTGTTTATCCTTTTCAGCACATGTTTTGGGAGGATGAAATGCCTACACCAATAGTTCTGCAGGCTAAAAAGCACTGACTGTACTAATTGTAACCTGCCTGCGTATGATAAGTGTCTTGTAGCCCAGCTGTTAATCCTTGCTGTTATCTTATCAACTAAGGGTGTACAGTCTTTCTCTGTGAGCCTTCTAGACACCAACGGGACCCCAAGGTACCTGACTGGTAACGTACCAATCTTAAACCCAGAAGCTTGCTGGATTCTGGCAAGTTCTTCCCTGCTAACCCCTGCCTGATAGAGCTCACTTTTCTCACAGTTCAACTGTAGGCCAGACATAGAATAAAATGCCTCTAACATCACCTTTATCCCTATCACTGAATCCAATGCTCCCTTTGCAAAATCAACAAGTCATCAGCAAAGCAAAGGTGAGTTAATTTAATTCTTTTGCATTTAGGATGATAATCAAAGACACCATCTACGGGAGCAGCATCTAGTAGTCTGGACAAAACATTAATAGCTAGATCAAACAAGTAAGGGGGAAGTGGATCTCCCTGCCGCACTCTCCTTGCTCCTTTAAAATAGCCTACAAGTCTTCCATTAATCGACAAGGAAAAGAAAGAAGTAGTAATGCAACTTCTTATCCATCCTATAAACTGATTCGGTAACTTCATTGCATGCAAGACTGAGAGTATGAAGCTCCAGTCCACTGAATCAAAAGCCTTCTGAAGATCAATCTTAATTGCACATCTTGGAGATAAAGTGGATTTGCCGTATCCTCGAACCATTTCTTGAGCTAGCAATACATTATCCGTGATGCTTCAACCTTTTATAAATGCACTTTGGTTACGACTTATCATCCCAAGTAGAGTTTCCTTTAACCGGTTGGCCAGAATCTTAGCGATACATTTGTAGATTGTGGTGCAGCAAGAAATTGGTCTGTAATCCCTTATACTATTAGGATTGGTGCATGCAGGAACTAATGCTACTATTGTAGAGTTGAAAGCAGGTAGCATATTCCCAGTTTGAAAAAAATGCTTTATAGCCTTAGTAGCATCATCTCCGACAATGCTCCAAGATTGTTTGAAGAAATGAGCGTTAAAACCATCAGGTCCTGGGGATTTCTCACCATTCAATGAGAACATTGTCTTCTGAATTTCCTCTTTAGTAACTGGTTGTATGAGAAAATCATGAGCCTTTGTAGATAAGGTCCCTTGTAGGAGCTCTGCCAAAAACTCATGTGTGCATCCTGTAACATTTTGATCCATAGTTCCAATTAACTTCTGGAAAAAGGAGTTTGTTTCCTGCAAAATTTGGTCAAACGTATCCAATCTCTTCCCTTCTGAATCCATTAAGACTCGTATGGTATTCTTTTTATGCTTTGCTGCTACCAAATTGTGAAAAAATTTTGTGTTTTGATCACCTTCTTGCAGCCATCTTATTCTTGATTTCTGCCTATAATAACTCTCTTCAGCCTTCATTAGGTCCTTGAGTTCTTCATATAGCTTCTCTCAATCACAACCAATTCATTTGGTGGGTTTTGAGTTAGAATGGCTTCCTGCATTAGTTTCAGCTCTTTCCTCTTTGTCTGCACCCGACTAGACAGATTACCATAGTTTTGAAAATTGAACTTCCTGAGCTCCAATTTCAACCCTTTAACTTCTTATGCAATATTAGCATTGGGCTACCTTTGATAGGGTCTTCCCAGGATCTTTCCACAATTAACTTGAACTCCGGATTCCCTGTCCAATAGTTAAAAAACTTAAAAGGCTTTGGAGGGGATTTAATTGTCATGCTGAGTTTGACAAGTGCAGCACAGTGATCAGAAACTTCTGGAGCTAAGAACTCAACATGCGACTGTGGGAGAGCTAAAAGCCAAGAGTCGTTTATCAAACTCTATCCAACTTCCTTGCTAAGTAACTTCCTAACTGATGGCTAGACCAAGTAAATTGAGGTCCAACATAAGCATGATCAAACAAGCCTAGTTGAGTTAAGCAATTCTGAAAATCCTTCATCTCTGAGTTTGCTGATTGATCTCCATTATAATCCGAGCTTTCAGAGGGATGGACTATAATGTTAAAATCCCCAGCCAAAATCCAAGGGTTGTCTTGCACTATACCACTGATGTGAGTTAAGTTCAACCACAAGTTCCTTCTTTGAACACCATCGTTACTCCCATAAATGGCAGAAAAATAAACTTTCCTGATTTCATATTGTAACACACAAGTAATACTTTGCTCAGAAAACTCTAGTGGGTCTACATGCACATGATCTCTCCATAATAACCATATCCTTCCGTTTGGAGATGCTGCATAATTGTGAAGAATACCCCAACCACGAAAATGCTTTTCCAGCACAGGCTGCATTTTATGATGCTTTATTCTAGTTTCTAATAAACACACAATATCTGCCCTTATTCTATTTATTCTATCTACTACACTTTTTTGTTTTTGAGGATCATTAAATTCTCTAGTATTCCATACTATCAGCTTCATGTTGAAGAACAACTAGGCTTACCTCCAGAGGCAGTGGATCCCGCCTTAACCTTCTTCCCCTTATCAATTGGACCTTTCTTCTTGCTTTTAAGGGCCTTCATTAAATCAGCGACACCTGCAGCTGCTGCTCTCTGTTTCTTTGGTGAGTATGGAATTATCTCTTCAGCCTCATTTTTTGAACTCTAATGTACATTACCTTCATCCACTAGCAATTCTGATTCCTGCACAGCTTCTAGGATCGAGAATTTATTAACAGAACCTGCTCTAGCAGTTGAGAGTGCAATCGGAATCATATTCTCCCTTATGGCACTATCTGGTTGTATCTCAACCACTTCAGTCAACTTTGCCTCCTGCATAGCTGTATTACCCTTATCCTTAGGCACCCAGACCATTGCTTCTGTCTTTACTTTCTTTGTACAAGTTGTATCATTGTGCCCAAATACACAACAGTGCTTGCATTTCTGTGGCATCCATGGAATTTCAACTGAAACAGACATAATTGATCCATCCCTTCTTTCCAATTCAATGAACTTTGGCACTTCCATACTTGCCTTCATCTCAATACAAATCTTTGCATATGCCAGTCTCTGCTTATTTGCAGTGATCGAATCCATATATAATGGATTACCTAGGGCACTTGCTATATAGCTAGGTCCCTTTTTCGTATAGAGCTCAAGTGGTATATTGCCCAATTGCACCCATACTGGCAGCATTTCCATGTTAAACTCTAATGATCGCATTCCTGGCTCCCATTTCCGAACAATCAATGGTTTGTTCTGGATATGCCATGGCCCATGTTCTATCACCCAATCCCTAACTTCCTCGTTTCAGAATTGAATGACAAACAGATTCATTCCAGCAGACTTGATCTCAATTAAACCGCTTTTCCCCCATAAAACATTAACCATCTTTTGAAACAAACTGAAATTTGGCATCCTACCGATGAACTGAGCTACCAGCGAGCTTTGCCATTGATGGATACCTTCCTCGAAGACATCATCAGGAGGTTTTACAGTTATTCTACCATCTGTCTGTTGAGGGGGAAAGTACTCCAACGCTTGATCCACTGGGGCTGCAAATAGATTCCTCCAATCCATTTGCGATCTCCTTTCACTACCTTACAGATCGGCAATCTTCTCTGCATTCAGCCCAACAACCACGCAGTCCTCATTGTTAATCTTAGTATTACATTGATCCTTACCAGAACTCTAAAAGGAATAGGATTGTGAAGCAAGAGATGGTTTCTTTGACATCGCCGATTGCTACTCTCTCAAAACCCCAAATTAAGTTCAATGAAGAACCAAATCACCAAATTTATTCCAGAACCAAAGAAATCACTACTGGAATAGAAGAAATTAGATGAAACTAGCTCGTAATGATGAAATTTGCACCAGAATCGATGGCTTAGGCGAGGAAATCCTCCACTCAAGAAAGTCCTGCTATCGTGAGCCGAGAGCTTTTTCCTAAATGTGCGCCGTTCTTTCCTTCTTTTAGCTCCTTTAGATTTTTTTTTGCTTTCCATTTTTGCTTGTATTAATGGTGTTGATTGAGGGAAATGTACGTATGTTTGATGTTCCACTGGACTATTTGTTGGTTCAAGCTATACGAACATCTCCAGATTTTTTGCGCCTTCTTACTTTTCATATTGAGTAGTATCTTGTTTTGAATGCAATTATCTTGACATGACTATCATTTCTGAGGGAGTGCTTTTACTATTACCATGTGAGGCATTTGGCTTTGAGAAGATCTAGGTATTATTAATGTGGGCCAGTGGTATCGGTATTCTTTCGTCTGCTTGTTTCATCGGCAATTCAACATCATTTATGTCATTTATTAAGGCCATCTATTATGAATATATTTTGCAATGACACAGTGGAGGTGGACTAGCTGAATTTGCTGTGGCCAAGGAGAGTTTGACAGTTGCAAGGCCTCCAGAGGTATCAGCTGCTGAAGGTGCTGCTTTGCCTATTGCAGGCCTCGCGGCTCACCAGGCACTAAACCAGTCTGCTGGGCTAAAGCTTGATGGAAGCGGCAAGCAAGTAAACCTCCTGATTACTGCTGCCTCAGGTGGCGTAGGTCAATATGCAGTTCAATTGGCAAATCTTGGAAACACTCATGTGACAGCCACTCGTGGGGCTCGTAACATGGATTTAGTCAAGAGCCTGGGGGCTGATGAGTTTCTTGACTACAAGACTTCTGATGGAGCGGCTTTGAAGAGCCCTTCTGGTCGCAAATACGATGCAGTGATCCACTGTGCAACGGGCATTCCTTGGTCTACCTTTGCCCCTAATTTGAGTGCGAATGGGAAGGTAATAGATACTACTCCAGGTTTTAGTGCTTTTATGACTGTTGCTCTGAAAAAGCTTGCATTCTCCAAGAAGAAGCTGGTACCATTGTTTATGACACCTAAGAAAGAGAATCTTGATTATCTTGTTAAGTTGGTGAAAGAAGGAAAGCTTAAGCCAGTAATTGATTCAAACCATCCTCTAAGTAAGGCTGAAGACGCTTGGGCCAAGAGCATTGATGGCCATGCCACTGGGAAGATTATTGTGGAGCCTTAGTTTATGAAGATTACTTACAGTAGTTTTAAGCTAGTGGGGTTGCCTATGGCCCATATTTATATTCATAAGTACTGAGTATTTTGAACAAATGCAAATATTGATGTGAATTTTCATCTTGTCTTTTGCTGGGAATTTAGACAATAATGTTGAAGTTCATGTTGCTGAGCGCCGTGTTTGGACGTCGTACATAATGAGAGAACATGACTTCTCAATATATAACAACAGATTTTGTACATCAGAAAAAACTATGATAAGTCATTGATAGACGTGAGAAGATTCAATGATTGAATAAAAACAGATTTCCTCGCAACATGTAATCCAAGGGTTCTAAGCCTCTCGGTTCAAAAATTGCCCCTCAGATTCGAACCTAGAGTCAAGCGGATACACTTGAACTGCAAAACATCCCGCCCTCCGCCTCTCCCAAGTCTCAACTCTCCTCATTTTTCTTCTCTGATCAGTTCATGGCAAATTCGTGCTTCTATTACTTCACTTTCCTTTCTAGTTATCTCCTATCGCTAAACGTTCTTTTTTTTTTCCTTTTCCTGGCATGTTCTCAGAAAAAGCATCGTCAAACTCCCCTGCAGATATCCTGCCTTTTAACTCTGCTTCCACTCTCTACTCTGTTTCTATTCTTTCCTCTTACAACCAAACAACCCCCGCAGTAGTAACCCAAGAAGATACAGTTCATCGTACTACATCTTAATCAACCAACCGAACTGGAAAACGGACCAAACCCTCAAATCCTTAGTTTCCCACATGAACCCCAACGTTGCTGCCCAGGTTATCCTCCTTCAAAACGACAAAGTCTCACTCGCTTTCCAATTTTTTCAATGGGTTTGTCAACACTCCACTCATTGCTATGATATAACTAGTAGAATCCACCTCTTCTACTTGCTTATATCCTCCAATTCATTTTGAATTGCTCATTAGGCTATATAATTGAACTAACCAAAAATTGTAGTAACAATAAAAGCGACCTTTTGAAGCACATGGAAGCGCTTGATGAGATGAGGGAAGACTGGTTTTCGCTTAAATTACCCCTGTTATAGCATTCTTTTGATGTCTTTAGCTAAGTATGGGGTCTTTAGCATTTTTTATTTATAAAAGAATGGTAGCTGTAGCTGAAGGGTTTGCTCTTGATGCTATTGATTATGGAACGATAATCAATGCTTTATCCAAAATTGGCTTTGTATGTCAAGCTTAAATGTTCATGTGCCAAGCTTTGAAGCTTGGGTTTGAATTGGGTACTCATATATATACTTCTATAGTGTTGCATTATTGTTGACAAAATGATCTCTGGCAACCCTTCCGGATGCTTGATGTAATGTCCAAATCAGATGGTTGTGGAGCGAATTCCGTTACTTACTCGATTTTAATACATGGTTTACGTGAGATTGGGAGAGTTGAAGAAGCATTTGCTTTGAAAGAAGGGATGAAGGAGAAGGGTTGCCAGCCGAATACTCAGACTTACACTGTATTAGTAAAGGCTTTGTGTGATGATGGATTGATTGGTAAGGCTTTGGGTTTGGTTGGTGACATGGTTGCAAAAGGATGTAAGCCTAATGTTTATACTTATACTGTTTTGATTGATGGGCTATGCAGGGAAAGGAAGATTGAGGAGGCTAATGGGATGTTTAGGCAGATGGTAAAAGGGGGTGTTTATCCGGGGATTGTAACGTATAATGCACTGATTAATGGATATGGTAAGGGAAGATCGGTTCTGTTTTTGAGCTTCTCAGTGTGATGGAGAAACGAAATTGCAAGCCTAATATCCGTACCCATAATGAGCTTATTAAAGGGTTGTGTATAGTTAACAAACCTTATCAAGGAATGCTCCTTTTGTGAAGGGTTGTCAATAATGGATTATTGCCTAACAGCGTAACTTATAATATTCTGATTGATGGGTTCTGGCCCTGCAGAGAAGGCCATTTTAACATGGCTTCCAAGATATTTGAATTGATGAACTCATTTGGGGTTTATCCTGATGCTTATAGTTTCACTTCTATGATGGATTGGCTGTGCAAACAAGGGAGACTGAAGCTCGCAAATGGGCTGTTGGGTAAGATGATAAAGATGGGAATAGAGCCTGATGAAGTAACATTTACCGCGCTTGTGGATGTGTTTTGCAAGATTGGTAATAGTGGAGATGCATCAAATCTTTTCAAGATGATGATTGCAAATGGTTGGGAAGACTTGTCATGCAATTCTTCATGTTCTGAGCAAAGAATGCAAGTTGATAGAGGAGTTAGAAAGATCGCAAAGCATGGTTTAGTTCCTCCTGTTGTGACTTACAAAATATTAGTAGGTGCGCCTTTTCAAGCAGGCAAGGTTGACCATTCCTTGAACATGATGGAGCTAATGAAACAAGTTGGCTGCCCTCCAGATGTGTACATATACAATATCGTGGTTAATGGTTTGTGTCAAATTGGAAGAGTTGAGGATGCAGAGAGAATCCTGCATAGCATGTCGGTTTTAGTTGTACCTCCAAATCATGTTACATGCACTATATTGGTCAAAGCACATGTTTATGCTCTCAGGTTAGATCGCGCCGTTGATATTATGTCTATTATTGTTAAAAACGGATGTCAACCCAACAGTCGGATATATTCTGCTCTACTAGCAGGATTTGTTTCATCAAACAAGGCCATTAAAGCAGGAAGCTCCAGTTTTATCAGTCCCCTAGATTTTAGCTCACCACTTACTGCAGAAAATTATGATGATTGTGTTTCCTGTAATGTTCTGAAGGAAATGGATCTTGAGCATGCATTTAAGTTCCGGCTTGAAATTGAAAAATTCAGCGGGTCTGCTTTGAAATTTGACAATTTTCTAATTATGAGTTTATGCGAAGTGGGAAAAATTTTAGATGCTGAACATCTTACCAAAGATACAGTGAAACATGGTTTATTTCCTGACCAGGCATGTTTTTCTGTCATTGACTGGCATTTGAGGAACAGCAACTGCAATGAGTGCCTCGAGTTCTTGGATCTCATTCTCATTCATTGTTTCCTTCCATCTTTTGCATCTTATTGTTCAGTGATCCACTGTATGCGTACCAAAGGAAAGATCAAAGAAGCTCAAAGACTGCTTTCTGACCTCATTAAATACAATAATATTGGGGAGACAAATGCATTGTTACCTCATATTGAGTTCCTAGCAAACAGTGATGAAACTGAAAAATGCAAAGAGCTTCTAAAACTGATGACAGGGAGTGGCCAGTCATCTAGTTTATGCTCCATTTCCTTGTTCCTTGAAATCATTGCTTATCTCTGAATTCAGGATCTCCCAAACTTGCTAGAGGAGGAATATATTTAGTATGGACAGATTGTCACTAACTCACCATAAGAACCAGATGCACAGCAGGAATACCAGGTGAAATCTAGTTCATACTCGTGCAATTTTTTCTTTCAGAGATCTGTTCAAATGAAAGCCCTGTGTAGATGAGTAGGACTTAGTAAATGGGATCTAAAATGTAAAGCAATATAATACATTTCGTTCGAGTTTAGTTGTTCTTTTTCGTGGACGATCTATAAATTCAATACAAGTCTTCTTTAAAGCCTACCATTTGCTCTAACCTTGGAATGGAATGGGAAAATCTACCTTGTCCTAAACTTTTTTATACAAAAAATAAATTTCAGTCTTAAAGATTTAAAGCCTCATTTTTGACAGACAACATGGATAAAATGTTGGTTTATATCTATCCAGATCTTGGACTCCTCTTAACTCTATTAATGTGCATGATATCAGGAGGTACTTCAGTAATTTGAAGGATTTTAATTCTCTTTCCCATTGAAATGTTCTGAATACAATTTACATTTTCTCAAGTTGAATTTTAAACGACCTTGATGAGAGAATCTCCCTTAGCCATCAACGTGTCAGCTGTTAACCACCAAAGAATGAATGCCCGATGCTACAACGCAAAGTAGTCAAATCCCCGTTAAGGAACCGATCCTAAATTTAGACCCGAGTGAAGCGATAGTCTGGGCCGGATCCGAACTGTGTCAAATCACACGTCAAACCAGCACTTAAAATTTCCCACGGACAACAACACCCATACGCTTATCCCTTACTGACGCTTAAGTCCCGCACTAGTTGCGCTCATTTGAGTCACCGTCCACGTCACTCCTCATCAATCCATTCGGGGCAATATCGTCAAAAAAATTACAATTCTGTAATATATTAGGTTCTTGAGGGACAATCTAGTAATTACATAAATAAATAATATTATATTACCTCCGGGACCACCTCCCTTCCCCACCACAACCAAGCATTGTTCTTCGTTTCAACTTTCAATTTTTTTTAAAAACAATAAATTAAAAAAAGAAAAAACTATAATTATCTTTTTTTAAAATAAAAAAGTTTAATTATTATTATTATTATTTTATTTTTCTTTGGTTTCTTCTCCTCCGCTTCTTCTGCAGAATTCTCTCTCTTGGCTTCACCCGTAAATCTAAATTTCCCTTTCTCTTTCTATAACTGAAATTCTCTCTCTGAAAGTCTTCCCGTTTTCTTGTTTTAAACGGCATCGTTTCACATTGGCGGTCTGTTTCTATTTCTTGGTATCTTAGATAGTTTTTACGCTTTGGTTGTCTGAGGTGAGTTTAACTTTCTCTCTCTTTCTCCCTATCTGTCTTCTTTTTTTTCTTTTTTAATTATGAATTGTCAATCGTTGTTTCTTTTGACGAATCAATCGTTGTTTCGATATATGTTTTTTCTGAGCTTTGTTTTTCTTTCACATTGGAATGCAGTTGGATTTTTCGTCTTAGTTCCTGTTTGTTTTCCTAGAAAACGGTGAGGTAAAAAATTTCTGAACGTTCTCGATGTTTTTCTTTAATTTTGCGCTTTTTAATAATCAAAGTGGTAAAAGACAAGGAGACTGATTCAAATTAGGCCACGGTATATGTGGTTGAATTAGGCATAGCTGAGTGCTGGTGTTCATGGGCTACTAAATTCGTAACGGTAGATATGTATCCATATTTTAATAAAAAAATAGGTGTCTTTTTCTAGGTGAGGAAATTGAAATTATTGTTGAATATATGGTTTAATTTTTTTGCTAAGCATAGATAGCTGTTTGCATCCCTGATGCAAAATTTTTTTGTAACTTTTCAATTACAAAGTAGGAAAAAGTTTGCCACCGCCCTCGCCTTTTGATTATTTATTTTATTATTTTGGATTCTAATTGATTTGGTTCATCTGCTTCGAGTTTAGAAAATCGAGGACTTCACTCAGCAAGATAGCAGTTTTCTTTTTTTATCTTTTTTTTTTCCCGTGTCTCATGATTATATTAGGTGTGATTTTTATTTTTATTTTTATTTTTACTGCTAAGCTGTTAAAAATCAATTTATTAATGACTTTACATGTACGAGATCTGGTTGAATTTACTGATGTATTTCTTGTTAAACTCTCCTTGTTTGGAAATGTGGAGACTTGATTTGTTAAACACTTTGTTTGATTAATGAGTAAAACAGGATAATGAGGGAAAGTCTGATGTTGCCTTGTGATTTTGACCGCATAAAAATTGATCCATGGCTCTCAGTCCACATTTCTTTCTATGTCTAAACCACCGTGTTGCAATCTCTTGGACAAAATTTTGTTTTATATTTTTGGTATACAAGCCTTATAAGACAGAGTCTACTTATTGCTGTCATCTGATATAGTAATATGTTGGTCAGTTTTCTTTCTTTAGATTATGATTTATGACAACAATTTTGTTGTTGGAGTTATGTTTGATTTTTAATGATTGTTTACAGCCCAGCCCTGGTTTTTGATAAATGGGGGCATCATTTAAGCTGAGTGTAAAGAAAATGGATCGGTCCATGAAATTCAACTCTTGTACAGGATTTCTATTGGAGGTCTTGTAGACTTGTTGGTTTTAGATGATACGAGCTCGTTGCAGCTTGTAGAAGCTGCATTTGAGAATGTTGATAATTTTCTGGCTGATATTCAATCATTCTTACAATGAGAAGTCTGTTCCTGTCAACATCATACATTTCATGCTACAGTTTAGCACTAAACCACATACACAAGTTAGTGATCAAGCCTATTTGGATACAATAGACACCTCTATTTGGAGGTTGTTAGAAGTACATTGACAAATCGTTGATTGTCATCTGTTACAACTGTAATAATGGAAAGGTTAGTTTCTTGTCGCTGCTCTTAATATTATTAAGTTTATCAAGTTTTCATTTGAAGTCTTGTGTGTCTTTGGCACTATATCTTGCTACTTTGCCTTTTTTCACTTAGGTATAAAATTTTGGAGGAGCTTGGAGATGGTACCTGTGGTAGTGTGTTCAAAGCCTTCAATACAGAAACATTTGAGATTGTAAGGAACTTCATTAGTTGCTTTTTTACCTTTCAGTTTACATAACTCTATAATTTTCATTTTGTTTGCCATTAAGATATATTCTTGTGCCTATCTTGTACCTCACCTATCATTGAAGTCTTTCAATGATTAATGTCATATTCTTTGCTTCACTTAGAAATTTTCTTATCCACATTAATTGCTTGTAATTGTGACAAGCAGGATATTTGTACATTGGTCTCATGTGATGATTGGAATTACCTCAATGCCTTGAAGATAGCAAATGATGAAAACAGAATCGATTTTGAAATCACTTTGTGAATTTGTATCATTAGGTGTACTCTGCATTTCTATTTGGTCAATCCTTCATCTACCAGCTATTAAATTTTAGTGGTTACTTTAAAATTTATATCTGATTTCCCATTTTCCTTATGATATTTGAACCTCAGTTGATGATCCTCTGTCTCTATGCACCTGGCTGTTAAGCCTCCCACCTCCACCCTGTTCCTCGTAGGAGGGGGTTGGCAAGCATTTTGAGCTGTCTATTGCAAGAAAAGTTAAAATGAGATTTAAAGCTCTAAATCCTAATGGGCATGCAATGTATGAGATGAAACTCTGTGTTTGAACTTTGACTTTACAGCACTAGAAAATTGGGTTGGTTTGATATATACATGGCATGAGATATTAGAGCATATATACACATAAGGGTAGTCCTTCAAGTAGAAACTTAAGAGCATATATATTTATATATAGAAGCAAGATTAGAAAAACTTAGGAGCTGACTAGAAAGGTCGGTGCACAAAAATCGATGCATTTGATTCTCTTTGGAAAATGATGTCTGGTGTTGTTTCACCTTAATGAGGGTTCATAAACTGTGACAATGGTCATTTGGAAGACCTTGGATTAGAAAACTCAACTCATTCTATTGTGGGTGCTTGTCTTGAAATGTTTTTTTTACCTGTTTATACTCCTTTTTAAGTTTCACCAAGATTATAGTGAATTTACTAAATGTGAAACTTCCTTGATTGGTTATTTCTTTTTATAAATGTTTTCAATCTAGGTTGCTGTAAAGAAAATGAAAAGGAAGTTCTACTTTTGGGAAGAGTGCATGAATCTAGGAGAAGTTAAGGTATGCTGTAATATTTCTTTAAATGTTAGAGTCCTCTGCTTTTTACCTAAGCCTTAATCAGGAGAGCATTCCCCATTTATTGTATATCATTCATCCATTCACACAGTTTCTTGATGGTATGAGTAATTTATTCTCTGCAGGCCCTTCGTAAACTAAATCATCCTAATATTGTAAAGTTAAAGGAGGTTGTCAGGGAAAACAATGAACTATTCTTCATTTTTGAGTACATGGTAAGGGCGCTTTTCCGACTTCACATTATCATTCAGTGAAAGCATGAGATTTTAAAATTTTATCTTCCACTTAACTATTGTATCTTCCCTCTGTGAGATTATAATATTATGTTCTTTTATTCCTATCATTTTTTGTCAATACAAAGCTTGGGAATATGACTATGATTTGACTGGAGCTAGGGAATATGACTATGATTATAATATTACTAATTTCCTTAATTACAAATGCCAGTTTGTAATAATTTCCTAATCTTGTGCTATGATACTAGGGATCTATTCAATTGATTACAATGTTTAATCTTGTTTAAATTTTGAAAGGTGAGCCTTACTTTCACCAAAACTATGTATTGTTGACTTTGGAAGCATTCTATAATTGATTTTAGTGAAAGAGTTGTGCAGATACCTGCATTGCCCCCCCTCCCAAAAAAACGTGCATACACACAGGGACAAAAAACCCTCCAATTTTGATATCTCTGTTCAACAAAGTATTATGGTTTCTTTCAACAATAAATGTTTCAGCTTGCTGCATTTGTCTGCTGATTTTCTCACTATTAGTTGTGTACTTCTGTGTAATTCATTGTAAACTGGCTTATTTTATCTTCAATTGAAGTAATCATTGGTGTGATATATGACTTACTGTAAGCTAGCATGAAGTTGAATGAAACCCTTTCCAATCATTTGGTAAGAGCTTGAATTTAACTTATTTCTAGGAACATAATCTTTACCAAATCATGAGAGAGCGACAAAGACCTTTTTCTGAAGGGGAGATACGCAGCTTCATGTCTCAGATGCTGCAAGGACTTGCTCACATGCATAGACATGGATATTTTCATCGAGATTTGAAACCTGGTAAATGTTCTTTTCATGTTTGTGCGTTATGTAAGTCATTTTTGCACATTGAATGGTGGATATCTTTAGTAATATATTTGCTTTTTTCAGAGAACTTGCTGGTGACGAAGGATGTTCTAAAAATTGCTGATTTTGGACTGGCGAGAGAAGTATCATCAATGCCTCCTTATACAGAATATGTTTCTACACGGTGGTGAGTAATCATGCAGTGGCATTATCTCATATACTTTGCATTTATGTTTGTTTATGTTCACACAATGTGGGTGCAACCTCACTGATTACTTCATAATTCTATCCTGTTCATATAGGATTAGTTTTCTCATCTGATGATTTGGGTTAATCATGTCAGGTACCGTGCTCCAGAAGTCTTGTTGCAGTCTTCCTCTTACACTCCTGCAATTGGTATGCAGATATGACTTGATCTAAGTCTCTCTCTCTCTCTCTCTCTCTCTCTCTCTCTCTGTATACATATGTACATCTTCTTCTAGTAGCTTTTATGGTGTTGTGGGACCAATCCAGAACTCCACTTTATCAGATAACATATTTACTATTTCAACTTGATTTATTGAGCTTTTCTTTCTTTCCATTAAATCTGTTACTTTGAGATTTATCTATATCATGTCTTGTTTTGCTTGAATGATGTCTGATAGTGGAAACATTTACAGATATGTGGGCTGTTGGTGCGATATTAGCAGAGCTTTTCACTTCATATCCTATTTTCCCTGGTGAAAGGTGATTTCTTATTCCAAGTTTTTCTCTTTTTAATCTTGGTGGAAAACACTGTAAAATTAAGGCATTCCTTTTGTGCTTAAAAAATATATCTTTTCTCACAGCCTAAATGTGCACAAGCAATGCAATACTTTTATGTCAAACATATGTTCTCTAACCATGGTTCCCCAATGTGTATTATACTATATAGTATATCCTAACTTCAACATGTTCTTGAAATTTGCATTCTAGTTTTGGTTGATAAATTTTTCTATAATATATGGTTGGCATGTCCTGTGACACTTGACTTTGGTAATTCTGTTGGATTTAGGGTCATGATTGCTAATGTTGATAATTTGAATGGCCTAAAGTTTCTGGTTTAATTGATTGTATGTAATCGATAACCTAACCATGTATGCCAAGCAAAATTAACACAGCGTGGTTGATCTTTGTTTGTGCTAATGTTGTTTCTGTTCTACTTTATATTCATTTGTCCTTTAGGCACTTTTAACCTGAACCAAATTGATCCTATTCCTACCTACATATTTTAGATCTAGTACCTTTTTGCTTATGGACAAAATATGGTACATAAATTTTCTCATATTGTCCTCAGTCCATGCCTCTTTTTCTGTTTTCTAGATACTGGTATGTGTATGTAGATGAACTTGCGTGCATGCATGGGTGGGGATGCATAAATATAGATACCGAGGAATGTATATTTGTTACTCTTCTGTGAAATAATCTCGGTGCTTTGATCCTAAGAATTGAGGATACTGTTCTATGTATGTATATGAATGTTCACGGATGCATCCATGGGAGGGGATGCATAACCATAGATATTGAGGAAGTTATATTTCTGCCTAATAATCTTGCAAGTGCTGTGATCCGAAGAACAATTCTTTACTTGCCATGCAAGTTTCTTAATTACATGCCTTTATCCACTATTTTTATTCTTGTTTGCTATCGGTTCAGAATACATAACTTTGTAGGTGATGCATGTGCATTTTTGTTATTTATCTTTTACCACTGAAGTAAAACAAAAATATATCAGAACTTGTAAGCATTTTTTCTTACAGTAATACTTTCACCTCTTGCCAGTGAAATAGATCAACTGTACAAGATATGCTGCGTTCTGGGTGCACCAGATTGGACTTCTTTACCTGAAGCAACCAACATCTCTCGTCTAATCAATATTAGTTATTCAGAGGTATATTTTTTTTTCTATTTATTAGTTATCTATTGGCTGCTATGTTTAGATGTTTGCTTTTATTTTATTTAATTTTAATTTATCATTGTTACTTTTGGGCAGATTTTACCTACCAACATATCAGATATCATTCCCAATGCCAGCTCAGAGGCTGTTGATTTAGTCATGGTGTGTACTGTGGTTGACTAGTATTTAGCAAAGTGACATTTGCTATTCTATAATATCTTACAACCTCTGCTTTGACATTCTGTAGCAACTTTGCTCATGGGACCCATTAAGGAGGCCAACGGCAGATCAGGCATTGCAGCATCCTTTTTTTAATGTAATAAATGTGTTCTGGAGCTATTCTCCGATTTTTATTTGTATTGGATCAATTTTACTAAAAAGTCTTGGGCAGGTGCATGCATGTGTTCCTCATCCACTACTGTACGATCCGCTTGAGTTGAGGCTAAACAACATGGGTGAGAGTTTTGAAGTTCACTTCTAGTTCCCATGCAAGACTGATCGATAACATTTTCTCTGCTCTTTTTTTCTGGTTCATCTATTAATGTTTTCTTGTACTATTCTGCAGGGATGGAGCCAAATCTTGAGTTGAATCTATGGGATTTCGACACTGAACCTGATGATTGCTTTTTGGGCTTGACACTTGCTGTAAAACCAAGTGTTTCAAACTTAGGTAATATTTTTGTACCTCCTGTGTTTATAGTTTAGTGGCCTGGTGGCTTTTGTTAGCTAGTGATGCCTCTTAAATTTTAGTCACCGAACTGCATAAATACATGTGGCATGGGAAGGCATCTTTTTTCATCCTCTTCTGGGTGATTGTGGAGGAATAGTGGAGTGGTGTCTTAGATCTTAGGATTTGGTGCCTACCTCAAGTAGCCGGCTAGGCAGAGTTTTAGACATTCATGGAGAGATGGAAGTGGATGAACCTAGAAACAATGTCTACTTTTATCCACATAGCGAGGGATATTCTTCATGCTATGTAGTTCCCATCTTGACCAGCTGAATATGCTTTTCAGTGTTATGTTTTAAAACTATGTCGGCACTAATTCAGAATGTATATCTGCTTTTAAGCATCTTCAATAAAAACATAATTGTTCAGGAAGTCCATTTGCATTATTTTATGGATAATGATTTCCATTTATTGGAACATTTCTTTTGTATCATCTTTCTTTGGATTCTATTTCCGCTATGTCTAAGGATTTGCTTATGCTTTTGTTTTTTTTTTTTAAATAAGAATATGACATTTATATCCTGCAGAGGTGGTCCATAATGCCTCTCAAGGTACGGAAGAGGTGAGTTTTGCAGTGCTAGACTCAGCAAAGTTGCTTGTTGCTATTATAGATCTTTGATGTGGATCGGTTTTTACCATTACTGAAATATGGCTTAACTGCTGAACTTCATGATTCAGGATATACTGTTTTGTCCTAGGCTAAAAGATCATCCGGAGCAATCAGGTAATTCATATGATCCTCAAATATCCTCTTCAGAAACAGAGACTAAGAGAAATGGGAATTGGCAATAGTGATGCATAAAGCAATTTCATATGAGAAATAGATCTTTGTTCTGAACGTTAATCTGGATACCATGCTTTTAGGGGTGAAAAATCGGTTAGTTCAGTCTTTGAAAATTCAAAATCCGACTTAACCGACCTCACCTTAAGTTCATAACCGACAATAACTGAAACCGACTTAGGTCGGTTGGTTCAGTTGGTTAAATTAAGTTTTGCATTTTTAAAAGCCAAAATATTTAATAGGCAAAAGCCAAGGCAAAACAGTTGGCTGCCGGTCATAACTCACATCTCAAATCAGTAGCATAACAGGAAGTCTCTAATTTTTTCATTTTTCTGATAAAAGTTAAATCTAGCATCCATTCCAAGATTGAATTTCCAACTGCATCCTGTTGTTTTCCATTCGAGCTAATGCCTATGATATACGGCAATACCGTAATAATAAACATAATGAATTACAAATTTTAAGTGTTTAAACAAGGTAGAAAGCCAATTTTCACGAGGCGGCTTTTGTTGATCACGAAGAAAGTGAGCATATACCTTTTGTCTTTTTAAAAGGATTAGGCATGCAAATCATCCATGCTTTAATTTAACAAGCTCTAATAGCTAAATAAAATAATTTGATCAAGACTTTCATTCTGCTATGGTAATTGAATAATTAAATTAAAGTAAACTATATTTTGGTCAAAAACCTGCTGCTAGTGCTTCTGGTGGCTGGCTGTTGTGACACCGGTGGAGGAATACTTAAATTAAAGCAAAGAGGAGGTCACGGTCACAGCCACAGGGCAGAGGAGTTTATGGCTTAGGCTCACATCTAGAAGGCAGCGTTGTTGTTGGGTCAGGCTCCCACCCAAAAAGGCTGAATTGTTGTTGGTGGATTGGCTGGCTACTGGACGCTGGTGGTGATCCAGTGGAGATGAGGAGAGAACAAATATAAAGGGGAAGCGGAAGATAAGTGATTGGTATGGCAAGTGGATGAAAGGGCAGCAGGCAGAGAAGCAAGAGTCGTATAGGCAGTCGGCAGAGATGTGTGATGGGAGAAAAAATGTCAAACAAACAAAAAATAATAATTTATATTTCATATATATTTATAAAAAATCAATTATATTAGTAATCAGTTAAATCGGTCAATTTGGTTCCTAATTTTGGTAACTGTAAACCCACTGAATTAGTCGAAAAACCCAATCTCCCTTGTTTTTTTCTAAACCAATTAGGTCAAATCAAATTAACCAAATTCAGTAGGTTTAGGCCGGTTAACACCACCAGCTTCTTGTACTTTTGAGAAGTAACAATGTTCACCGGTTGTTTCATTTGTTTTTCTTCTTTGTTTAGACTGTAGTGTTTGCATCTAATGGGCTGTGGCCTGTGGGTTCCTTTCACTCCAGTTTTTTGGTCATTGCTTACTCCTGGTCAAAATGGAATTCACCCTCCAGTTGAATCCACCTTGTCTTTCCCATTCAGGTGAGTTAATGCATTTAGCCTCGCTCATGTTAGAATTTGTTTATGTGGTGACTCTAGCAGGAAGGCATATGTGTATTGATACTTTTAACTGGACAATTGTCATGGTCCCTGGAGTTTGGCTGTTAGAAAATTTTCCTTTATGTTTGAATTAGTTGTTCGGCACTAATTCTCACTAATATAGGAATCTCTTTGATCTTTTCTAGCAGTTTATACTTAAATCACTGCTGCAAGACGAATGGTTTAGCTTTCCATTTAAATTAACCATATATGAAAAGTAGTTTTTCTTGTGCCCGCATTCTGCACTGATATTATGGTACATTGTTTATGGCTGGCTTGATTGCCTGCATATAGATTAAAAGAACACAAGTTCTCATTTACATATTTTTCTCCCCTTTTATGCATTACTTTCATCGCTAGACCTATCAATGACATGACATCTGATATTCCCCCATCTTTTGGAGGGAAATTTTCCATGGCAGTTCGATTCAGCATCCACCAATTGGAGTTCCACAATCTGCTGGGTTTGCAATGGCATCATTGCAGCCTAACCTCTTAGAACGTCAGTTGTTGGCTGTGTCCTCCCCCTTCCAGCAAGGTCATTACCTTTGACTGAGTTGATTGGATAATCTAATAAGGGGCTGTACAGAATTTGTAATTTATTATTCTTTTTTATTATTATTAAGTTCCGTTTAGTACTCTCATTTATGCAAAATAGGTGTCCTGAGAAAGTTCCCATGATAAAAGTTTTTCAGATCCCATCATTTCAAGTATAGGAAATTATACTCTTTACGGTCAAAGTTGGTGGAATATTCATCTTGGTTAATGTACATTTTCTTTCATACAAATATCTTTCCCTCTCACTGTATATGTATGTGTAAATTTACTTAACAAAGGGAAATTGTCTCTCATTCTCTAGCAGAGCAGTGATAATGAATTTTCATCATGTATTTCATATCATCAGACCTAAGAGAGGTTAAGAAATAAAATGGTTGATGTAAGCAAAGGAAGTAAGACATAAGCTAAGGGCATCTATATGGTTGATGTAAGCAAAAGTGCAAGTAAATGAATTATCGCTGCCATCAAATCTAGTTTTCAGAAAACTTGTCGGTAGCTGAAACCCCTTCCAGAAGCAGAAGCCGTATAGCCTTTCTTTTCTTTGGCCAAAAGTTTCTGTTCACCGTTTAGAGAGAGACATGAAATAGTTGTAACATTTAAGGCGCTGGGTCAGATTGTATGTGATTGGGAAAATGACATAAAGTGAAACATTAAATGCTATAGCCATGTTTTTGTTTGATTTTCCTACCTTGGATTCTGTTGTGACATCTATTCCTCAAAAATAACACCCAACAAAATCAAATTGAACAATTAAGACAAAAATCATTGTTTGTTAATGATTTGGATTATTTTAAAGTTTTAATTCAAGACATTTAAAATGGAATTTTAAACTTTGTAAATTGTTTTCGAGAGAACTCCACTATGTTAAATAGATTTTTTTGATCTCCAAGGTTTTTCTGTCTCCGTAATTGTTCAATCCCAGGACAATAGATTTAAATGAGCTAAGATTTTCATGTCCAATTCGAGGACCATTATTACGCTAATGAGCCAAAGCTTCTAAATACGAAATTAGTGCTTTAGAGTCAAATTTTATTATGTTTACTCTCATTATTTTTATTGGATTAATTTCGGATTAGAGATGCTAAATCATTGTTTTTGAGTAAATTACATGAATAATCATATAAGATTTTATATTTTGATTGTTTAATTTTAAAAATTAAATTTTAATTATTATTTTATACAGTTATTTTAAAAAATAATATTTAATAAATCTAAAATTAAAATAAAATAATTTTCATTTCAGACTTTTTAACATGACTGTGACTTTTTTTTAAAAAAAAATTTATTTTTATCAACGAGTCTTTAGTGTCTAATCAAACTCTACTATGACAAGATACCATGATCTCGTGATATGTTTGATTTCACGAGGGCCACACGATATGTTTGTTGTCAAGACAGGCGCACGAATCTGAAGTTAAGATCCGAGGACGAGTCCAAGCTAAATTCCCAGACCGTAACATTTCGTATCAGAAAAAGCCAATGACATTGCATTAAAAAAAAAATAAAAGCCAATTTTTTTCTTTCCATCTTCTTTTCTTTTCTTTTTCAATTTTTTTTTCCTGTCAACCGTCAAAACATTTTATTTTATTTTTAATTTTTCATTCCCCTCTCTTTTAAGCTCTCTTACTCTTCTCCTTCTCTGTAACCAAAAATCCAAAGAGAAACAAATTCCAATTGGTGAAATGAATGTAGTACTGGCTGCTGAAGACACAAACGGGAGAGTGGTCATGGGAAGACCAAGCGACCCAGAAACACCTCAATTCGATGAAACTAGGCGATCTCTATTTCTTCTACCACTAGGGTGCCAATGCTCGTCTCGTTGTGGGTGTGGCCAGCATGGTAAAGGAATGGCATTCAGAGGGCAGTGATAAAAACAGTGAGGTGATGGTGGATGTGAAAGCGCTAGGGGAAATGGGGAGGCAAGTGGACTTCAAGGGCATAAAACAGGATGGGCAGTTTGGGTAATGGTTCGGATTAGACCATTTAAAAAAAGTAATGATTGTGGAAAAAAAAAATGGAGGAAATTTGAAAGGAATGGTGGTTGGTTTATTACTACACGTCTACTGCTTGGTAACTTGTCTCTGGCATTTTAGTGAACATTTACCGTGCAATGCCTAAACCCATCCCATGCAAAAATTAATTAATGAAGGGCACGTCCTTCTGAAACGTGGCGTTTTAAGGACAGAGAATGGAAACATAAAATTTGAATGTTAGTAAGTTAATTTTTTTTTAAAATTGAACGATCACAATAAAAAGTCACTCAAAATTAAGTGATTATTTGTATAATTTACTCAATTTTATAATAGATTTGTGTTTTGGACAAATTAGTATTGATTTGGTTAAAGAGTACTTCAAGATAGCTAGATTTATTTAGTTAAATAATAATATTTTTAATATATTAAAATTCATTATTCAAATACTACTTCAAGTAACTTAAAAAATTATTAAAAAAGTAAAAACATTTGCAGCTTTGGCAATTATTTTTTATTGTTATTTGAGGGAATTCTTTGCCAAACGTTATTGAAAAACACATAAAGATGCTTCGACTTTCAATGGAAAGCACAAGGACCCCAACGGAAAGCGTTTTACTTCTATGCCATGGCTTTCATTTCTTGAACCAGATCAGAAAAAAGCCTGCCCTGTATCTCTGCATTCAGCAGGAAATCCTTCCACTTCTTATGATTCTCTCTTATGGACATGCCTGGTTTCTTGTCAACCTCCACCATCACAGTCTGGACAGGATCCCTAATGTTTTCCCTTGAGAAATACCCATCCTCTTCTCTCCTACTCACCTCCACTGCCGCCTTCATGTCCTCCGCGATGAGCTTTGAGTTTAAGAACTGGTCACCCTTGAATGGTAACAGGACCAACTGGCAATCGTTCATCAAAGCTTCAATAACAGAACTAAACCCAGAGTGACAAACATAACAGCCTACACTATCATGGGCTAATATAAGCTGCTGTTGGACCCAACCTGTGTGGACAACCCCCCTACCCTTGATCGCCTCTGTGAACCCTTTTGGCAAGAGCCGCTCAAGCTCAGCCTGGCCATGAACTCCAGCAGGGAAGTTCAAAACCAGAAAAAATGGCAATCCTGTGAGTTCCAAACCAATAGCTAGTTCGTTTATCTGATCATCTTTGAGAAATGTTTCACTACCAAAGGAGGCAAAAATAACAGACTTGGCTGGATGTTCACCCAACCAATCTGCCCATTTCTCCTCTAGCACACCGGATGGTGGGTCTGGAGTAAGTGGACCACTTAAAAGAACTTGCTTTTGAAACTGAGTCTTCATGAAATCAACATAAGGAGCTTCCATTTCGTTGCAGGTTTTGATAACTATGGCACTGCAACTGTTGAGGCAGTCGATGACTCTAGAATAAACCGTAGGGCCACCATCAAAGCTCTTGAAAATATACGACACGTCTTCAGCCTGGAATGCTTTGAGAGAGGTAACTGAGGTTTCTGGGAAGCCGTGTGGAGGCTTCTTTAGATCATCAACAGTGGGTTTCTCACCTTCTACTCCTATGAGCCTTGCAGGGACAGTAAGGTAAGCACCTGAGATGGCAGAGAAGACTGAGAAGCAAAGCGTCTTGATGCCAAGTTGAGAGCATAGTTCTGGAAGCCAGTGTTGGAAGAAATCGAAGAAGACAAATTGGGGTTTGAGACCTGATAATACAATCTTGACTTGAGGCTGCATGAGGTCCAAAGCTTGCTTGAGGAGCTCATGCATAGCAGGTGTCATTTCAGAGGTGTTGTGGAAGTCAGGAGGAAGGCCTTGGATTGGAGGAATTTGAAGAGGGATAATTTGGATCTTTGGAGAAAGAAGGAATGAAGATTTAATGCGTGAAACGTTACCAGGAGCTGTCAGGAAAGAGATTCTAACCCCGTGAAGAGAAAGCTTGTTAGAGAGTTGTATGAATGGGCCGATGTGACCAAAAGCAAAATATGGGAACATTACCGTATGGAGCTCTTTTGCTTCAGAAGCCATGTTTGCTATCGTTTGAGAGCTTCGCTAGATGTTTGTTTCATCGGTGCGTTGAACATCTTGGGCTGTAAATAGATGTACGCAGTCGTTGATTGGTAGGAACGTGGGTTAATTGGGTATAAAGAAAAAGGGAACAGAACTGTACAACAGGTAATTTAAATTCTAGAACTATGAATAGTTCAAAAACACTGTTTGTGAGCTTAGTGATTATTAATCAGCCAACTAAGTTGAAAAGTGGCACTTGAAGACAAACTCAGCGTAAAACAAGTCAATTTTGACAAATCAATTTTCAACTTGAGTTGTTGTGGAATTTATTTGTTAAAGTTTACTCCAATTTTCAACTTCTTTTAACAAAAAAACATTACATCGAATCTTATCATCCATTAGAATTAGAAGGACAAATTGAGAATTTCTCATTATAGTTGGACAACGACAGTGGAGAATAGAGAAACTAGACCTAAAATCTCATTGGAGGAGCAGCTAGTTCTGTAAGTATGGGCTATTTCGGCCTAATAATGAGAAATTGAAGATACTTTCGGCTTTGAGCCTGTTACGCTCCAATTCTATCATATTCCCAGCAGAGGCGGAGTGTCACGGGCCGTGCGTTGTTTATATCGAAATTACGGGTTTGTACGGTATCCAAACTTTTTATAATTAAAGTTAGTTTTTTTAAAGTTCATTTTTTCATGGTTATCGATCATTACAAGCGCATACTCATAAGTTTTTATTGGTTCAGACTCTGTGGGGTGGCACGTAACATTTTCAAACTCGATGGCAACTCAATTTCTATCGTTATCATTAGCCTGCAAATTTCAGAGTGGTTCTGAGCACCCATTCATGTCCACAAGAACTAAGGTCTCAAGTACTGATCCTCCTCAAATTCACTTAAGGACGTGCAGCTCTAATTCTCGTCGTGATATCTCAATCTAGCGTGCACTATATACAAGCTCTCGTGTCTGAAACCCAAAGGTACAATATAAATATTGATTAGCAACCAGCCTAGAGCCATATTAGGCTCATCTCATTCCCACGAATTTATATCTCCGAGCCTCGGCTTTTAGCCTCACATTTAGGCTGCCTACACGTATGAATAGACACCTAGTTATATCGATCTCACATCATAAAATTCAAATGTGTTACCGCTGTCATAGTATACCTCTATCGAATAGCTACAATGATCTAGCAGCAAGCTTGCTCATTCCTTAGACTCGATGATGTCTCTCTTATGCAAATATCACTTTATGATCTTTAGTTACTTATCAATTTGATTTAAAGAGGAAAAATTAAAAGATATAGTAAATGTTACAGTCTAACCTCACGATTTAAAGTAAAAATATGATATAAAATTCGTTAGCTTCAATTATCTACTAATTTATTATGATTCTAAAAAGATATTGTATCACACTTATGACCTAATAATACCTTCTTACTTAGACACTACATGTGTCTAGAAATATTGTATCACACTTGTGACCTAATAATACCTTTTTACTTAGACACTACATGTGTCTAGAAATATCTCACTTTAAAGTAGTAAGGTCTTGTCTACTTACTAGTCAAAGGGTGGTAGAGAGCAATCACCAAACATCTCCTTATAAAGAGTATAAAAGATTTTTCAGCTATGCCATAAGAAAATTATAAGCATGTTTAAAATTGAGATATTTTTCTTTTCAGTCATTTGAGAGCTTTTTTTAATTAATTCAAGGCCTAGTGACCTACCTTTTATCCATAAGGCTTCTCAAAATTTGCTTGATGCTCCACCAACCCATTCAATGACGTCTCGTGTATGACTTCGACTGACAGCACTCGACTGACTATTAAGCTCCAAGATACCTACACATTGATTTGTATTTGCCCACACATCCTAAGAGTAGGGCTCCCACTGTTTACCCACAACTCTAGGATCATTGCCTCGATTACAAGGCCTCATCCTCTGCTCAGCTTAAGGTTTATGGTAAGACTAAGGCACACCAAAGCCTGACCATGACATTGAGCTTGATTAAAGCCAGAGGGGGCATTGATCCTCCAAAATTTTACCAATCCTTTAATGTCAATGCTAGAGATAATTAAATAAAGAGTTACTTAAACATTTATTACATTAATGAATTTAGTTAAAATAGCTTAAAAACTCGGTAACTTATAATAATAAATTTTTAACTTTTTTAACTGTTTAAAATTTCATAATTTATTATTTATAAAAAAAAAAAATTGATCATAGCATTTCTTGATGTGCTTCTTTATACGAGCAGGTGTTGAAAGACAATTGAATAAGTAATCGTTTCTAGTACTCCCCACCCTTTTAAAATATATATATATTATACTATAATTATTTTATATGTTTAAATTTAATTTAATTTAATTAGTTTTCACATTAAAATTGTTATTTATTAATTTTATTTTTTGTTTTTAATTTAAGTTTAACAATTTTAATTTATAAAGATTAAAATCACATTATTATTTGTCTATTTATTATATATGCAATCATTATTCATAAACTCTAAAAAATAATAGATTTATAATAAATATTAAATCACTTCCATGTAAACTTAAAAAAATAAAATTACCTTTTTAGCTTTCTCAACAATATTACAATTTTTCAACCAAATATTAAAAGTATATATTTTTATAGCCAGCATTTATCTTCTCATATTTTTGTGACTTTTTTCTTTTTTTTTTTGTTTGATAAAACTTTAAATAAAATTGTTAATTGATCTAAATTTTCTCTTTTTTTTTTAATATTTATGTTTGATACATATGTAATAAATATGAAAATAAATATTTGACAATCTAAAAATAATAAAACAAACCTTAAAAAATTAATATATTTTTATTAAACACATATTGTATTATTTGACATTAATTTTTTGAAATTAAATAATTACTCTTCAAAATCGAATGTGAAGATTTGTCACTGATGGCAGCGTGAATTTTACACACAAAAAGCCTCCCCGATCAGTATGCCGCCATTTGGGCCTCGATGCTGATGATAGTTTATTTTTGCTCGCTTCTTGAAGTAGTGATTCTGATCTTTGATTTCCTTGGCTATAAGTGATTTATTTGGATTCTATGCCCCTAACTTTCTTTTCCCTTTTTATCTTTGGAGTTAGGATGGAAATGTCTCTACCATTTAACTTTGTTTTTTCTATTTTTATTTAAAATTATAAAATAATTTTATTAATTTAATATAATAAATTAAATTTTCTATTATATAATGAATTAATAAATAAGTATATTTTATTATTATATAATTAAAGTGAGTTAATTAAAAATGTTTTAAAAAATAAAACATATTTTATTATTTTGTTATTTTTAAATAATTATTTTTTTCGTTACAATTCACGTAAGGAATCATTCTGACTTAATATATTACTATTCTTAGTATTCAATTAATCTCATGCATACAGCCATGAAATCAACGGCCATCGGCCACCATTGTAAATCAATCTGATCGCACCTACAAATGGACTCTCTTTAATGCGTGATTTTGACAAGTGTCAAAAGAAAGAAATAGAGAAAAATCTGGCAAGAAGTCAACGTTCATCGGATGATCGAATTGGCGCAGTTATCATCTGAAGTTGAAAAGAAAATCTTAACCCGTAAGAAAACAGAATTTACTTTTAAAGGGTCCAATGTCCTTTCCATTACACTGGAAAATCAAAAGCAAAGGAAAATCAAACAATCAAAAAAATGGGTGGTGAGACGATGACCCCTCCTAGCTTCACTTCTGGTATGTAAACACTCACTCTTGCTGGTTCTGTTTGATTTCATTGTTGTTTTAATATTAAACCTTTTTTTTTTATTTTTGCTTTTGCAAAATTTGAACATGGCAGAGGAAGAATCCTCAGTGGACCAAGATTTCCCAGTTCGATCATTTTCTTCCCAAAAACCCACTTTGGTCAGGTATTTTGTTTTTACTGTTTCAAAAGATGAAATGATTTTATCCTATGTACTTGTCTTAGGATCAATTTAATTTTTCTCTCTATGTTGGTTTAGTATTTTGAATTTGTTTACTTGGTTTTCAAATGAATCAGGGATGATTTGAGAATGGAGGTTGAAGATGGAAAAATTAAAGCTGGTAACGTCCTTCTTGAAGAATTTGACCAATTGGGTCCTCAATTTTCTTCTTCTCTGGAGTTTGAGGCTTATAACAACCAGAGACTACAAGTTTACCAAGAGGTCTTGCAGAGTTATGATCAATTGCGGGTTCGAAGTATGAGTCTAAATGAGGCAAAGAATAAAGTTTTAAGGTTTTCATCTTGGCACGAATTCATTTTCTTTCATCAAAGAATTCTTCTTTTTTTTTTTTCAGGGAAAAAAGGTTCTTTGTTTAGTTCAAGAAATAGAAGTTGACTTCTCTAAAGAATAGTGGTTTAAACCTTATAAGCCCAAATTCTTGAATCTTTTTAGATTTTGTTCATTATGGGATAGATTGGGCTTTCAACTTTACTATTCTTTAGTTTCTATTTGATGCTGAAAATCGAAGTTGGTTGCTTGAACTCAACGGAACAATTCATGGAACCTGGAAGAATTCAGTTTGTTTTTAAATAAACTTGAATAGACATTCTCATATGATCAACAAAATCAAGATTGCAACGTACTATTACTATTAAGGCTTTCCTCTCTCAAAGCTAGTTGAAGAGCAGAAAATCAGATTTTAATTTACGTTTCAAAACCAAAAGGATTGTATCCTCTCATCCAAGGTTATGATATAATTAGATTATCAACAATCGGCTTGGAATACAAATTATTTTGCTACATTATTTCAGATGTTTCTTGCAGATGTGCATTAGTCGAAACAACATGAACTCTGGAATGTGGAGTTTCTGAGACCTTCTTATAATTGCTACTTAATGATTGAATGCCAAATTTCATCTTGTAAATTTTTTTTGTCAACGTGTTTGATGCATAGTTCTCATGCCAACCAATTGTCATTTTGTTAATTGTGGTCTACAGCCTGATATGCTAAAACAGGGCTTATTGAATATATGGTATACATACGCTGACAATTCAAGCATGTAACATTATGCTCAGAATATTTTATTGTAGTTGAAGTTCAGTATTAGTTGTTCATGATTGATAGACTTGGTATTACGTTTAACTGATATCTGTACTTTGACATGAACAGTTATATTCCTGGTGCATGGATTGAGAATGTTGGTGGCATGAAATTGAGTGATTATGATGTTCCAGAAACAACGTCACTCCTTTTGATTGGTCCAAAAGGGTGTGGAAAAAGTAGTCTTGTCAATAGAATTTCAAGGGTATTTGAAAATGACAAATTTGCACCAGAAAGAGCTCAAGTATCATGTAATGTTGTTTTATTGGTTTGTAGTAGATGTTGAATTCATAAAGAATCACTTTAATTTTTTTGGTGAAGTAGATGTAGTTATTATATTATCCTTAACCTTAAATTACTGTTTTGTCTAAAGCAGATAATTCGTCTGTTGGAGATGGGACCTACTATCTTCAAGAATACATGATCCCAAGAGGTTCAGCTTCGTTCTGTCTTTTTGATACCCGGGGCTTGTGTAACGACTCCTCTGATAACATTAATATGATTAAGTATTGGATGAAGAAGGGTGTTCGTCATGGGGAACTTGTTGTAAGGTATGCATTTTTAACCTTGCAGAGTAGTTTCTGTTAGGCATGTAATTTTTTTTCTATTTTCAGATAAGTTCATCTTAGTGATTTGTCAATCAGGAAATCAGATGATTCTAATTTAAGAAGAAGAATAAAGTGCAAAACACGGGAGCTAGGTTGGCGGTCCTGCAAGACCAGGACAGTTAATTTTGTCATTTTTGTTGTTGATGCTGTTGCTGTTTTGAAATCCATGGAGGGTGATAGCCCAGCTGAGGTGCAGTACATGCAGATGATCACCAGGGCTTTCAAGTGTCCATGCTTGTCATTTAAAGGTACAGAGATATTACTAAAGTTTTTATTTCATGTAACATGTAGAGCTGATCGATAAGACTTAAAATTATTGACTTTGTCAATAATTTGCTTCCTGCTTTTTCCTTGTCTTGGTTAAAATTATTCTTGCTGGATTTAGATTTTAGAACATGAGCAAGAAGGCAGAAACTAGCAGTTAACCATGCTTGACATGGGAAAGAATATATTAAAGGAGGAAACTGATTCCCAAAAAGAAGTGGACCCTGAGACACAACCTCCTTAACCTATCACTTTGCCCCATAGAAAACAAGAAACAAAAAAATAAGGATGCAAGAAGAAAGGGATATTGCATCAAGTGGTAGAAACCAGTAAAAATATGCATACTGTCAATTAGAGCTAGTAATAATACTGGCAAGTTCCTCAAGCCCCACAATTAAGGATCCAAGATACCATGAAGGCGTTACCTAATTTTGCTTTGCTAAATAACTTGCAGTTCAATTAGTCCTCAAGCTTTAGAGGCTTCACTGCTTAGGCAATAACATTGACGTCTTTTTATTTTTTGGCCATGATCTCAAAAATGTAAAATTTTAAGTTCATTCAAAAAAGTATTAAATTGCTGGTAACCACCTTCAATTTCTTCCTATGGTTAAATGTTTCATGTTATACCTGCTCCCTCTGTTTTCTTGCTCGCCTATTCCTTATTGGTTTTTCTTTTTATTTTCTGGATCAGTCAATTTTGACTTTGAGTTCTGGTGATCAACTTGCTAACTGCTTCTTCTTTATTTAGATGATAAACCTGTTCTGGTTATCACACATGGGGATTTACTCTCAATTGCTGATCGTGTTCGTGTCCGTGTTCATTTGGGAGAGCTGCTGGGTATTCCACCTACAAAACAAATTTTTGATACTCCAGGTGATTTCATTAAGTTATTTACTATCTATTCATGTTTTTTAATAACTTTTTGCCACCCAATTATATATGCAATTTATTAGATTTAAGGATTGAATAAAAGCCTTTGATCTTGCAGAAACCCATGATCCAATGACAGAGTTGGCCATTGTTGATATGTTGCGTTATTCACTTGAGCATGCAGATCGAAATCTTCCTCACAAGAACTGGGTAAAGGAAAAGGTTTGGTTTGTCTTGCACCCATACTAATGGCTAAAATGTTCTTAATGGCTGTATTCTCATTATATACCAATTGGAAAAGCATGCTGATAATTTATCATGCCTTGCTTTGGTCTGATATCATAATGCTGATGAAATATATTGGGAAGTGTTTTGCTCTAATCCAGATTACTTGAGGGAACCATTCTGCCAATAAGATAGTCATTTAGCTTTTGTCTCGTTGTTGTTCAGTCTGGACATGAAATATATATAGTTATTCGTGATGTCTATGTATGAGCCCAAATGATGATACGAGGTCTGGCACACACTCATGGAACTTGATCAATTATTTTGTATGAGAGATCTCCCTTAGTAATAATGGCTATAATAATCACATGCAGGTGCGTAAAGTTTCTCTGTTAGCATGCGTATATCTGTTAGCAATGCTGGGGGCTGCCTTAGTAGCAGCGTACATGAAACGTTGGACTATGAGGCATGCTCACAAATCAAAGCTTCACATAGATTGGCATGATATCCGGCACATGTGGTTAGAGGATTAGTGCAAGTCAGCTTCATTTTCCTGGTTTGACACCCTTCAATCCTGTTCATAAACTACATAAATGCATTCTCTCTGAATGACTTTGTATATGTAAAGGGTTTGATCTTTGTGATGTACGTGGAATTCGAATCTTTTCAAAGATTGGAATTAAAACTTTGATATTATTCTGTGGTTGACGGTGTACAGTACTACAGCTTTTCTGCAGCAGTTTGGTGAGATTATGGGCATTATATTGCCAAGATATTAAAAATATATAAAAAATACTAAAAATAAAAGAGTGAGAAAATTAAGCCTTGGAAGTATATATATTTTTATTTTCCATGTTTCTTAACGGGTGTTTAAATTTCAATATCTTCCTCGTTTCATGGAGATATTCGAAAGAAAAAAAGTATGCCAAGAAAAGTAATAATGGAAGTCTGACTCGCCCCTGAAATTTTCTCACAGAGGATTTATGCTACAGTGAGTAAGCACAAAAAAATTTCTCAATTTCATGCCCTCTGCAAATAAATGGGCTGCAATTTTGTAGTCCATGAAGAAAATACACTATAAATTATGCCATCTTCTGCACTGCTGTGGATCGGAAAGGCATGAATTGAGGCAAAGAATGACAAGATCTAGCTATGAAAAAGAACTTGAGATTGTAACTACAATATTCCAGATGTAATACTGTTTGGAATGCTCTGCAGAAACATAGCCCTAGCAGCAGGATCAGTTGAAAATCGACCTAGCACAGCAACAGTAGCTGTTTTACTGCCAACCTTCTGAATCCCTCTAGAAATCATACAGGTGTGGTTAGCCTCCAAAACTACCATGATATCTCCACCTAAGATTGATGAAGCTGTCTCTGCTATTTGCCTGGCGAGTCTTTCTTGCACTTGGAGCTTGAAACCATAAAAATGTACTATCGACTGCAAAAGGGACTTTCCAACGGGATTGAATCCTTCAGGGCAGAAGTATCCAATATGGACCACACCATGGAAAGGAAGTAGATGATGCTCACATTGAGTCCAGAATGACAGGTTCAATTCTGAATGCATCTGTTCATTATTACGGAAGCAGACTTCCACACTAGGTTTAAGATCTGTTCTGCCACAAGCAAAGCCATTTTGCTTCATCTCCAACTTTGTATTCTAAAAATTCATCAACCACCTCACAAAATGGCTAGGAGTTTCCACGAGCTCTTTCCTTAATGGATCTTCACCCAAGTATACGTAGGATGCTACAAGCTCAGAGGCAATTTTAGCAACAGAGGAAGAATAGGAAGGGCACCAACTTTGTTTTGTAGAGTCCCTAGTTAGAATTTTCTCCACGTTTACTCCTCTGAATTTCAAAAGACCCATGAAATCACCCCAAGCATCAGCATTTTCATTTTCGAAAACCCTGATCCTAAAGACACCAGTACCTTTACCCATCTTTGATGCTTTGAGTCAAGAAACACCGACGACAGATTCGGGAAATGAATGTGCAAACACTGGAGTATCACAGTAACACCTGCTGGCTTGATTCCATGGTGCAGAGCTGAACATATTTCAACTGCTAGACGATGTGGGTCTTGCAGTCGTTTTGCAAAAATATCAGCTACTCTCGAGAGTTTGCTTAATCCCACTATCTGCTGACCGAATGGCACATAACCTATATGACACTTAATTTGAAATGGAAGCAAGCATGACTCACAGTATGAGAACAGGTCAATATCTCGAACAATCACAAGCCCACCTGCTCCTCCAGCATGACCAACTTCATCATGCAAACCCACTTCAGGGAACAAAGCTCCCTGAACAATATCCTTTACTTTTTGTTTATAACCTGAAGAAGGTAATGGAAAAGCCTTGATAAAAACTTAGCACGAATGATTATAAGAACATAAATACATATGCATTCAAGTGAAAAAATATAATATGTTCATGTATAACAATTCTCGAAGAAGATGAAAGTAGACACGTTCATATACAAATAAATCACTGCCTAAAGAACCTTACTAAATAAGCTTCAGAAACTTCATACACACAACAATAATCTTGTATACTAATGCATATATTGGAGCCCAAAACTTGCAAGACGAGCCAAAACAAACAAAACCAATCAACACCGATCTATTCATACTTTCAAAATCTCTCTGTATCATTTGCTTGTTTTGGTTTTTTTTTTTTTTTTCTAGCCTGCTAAGTCACATGGAGCAAAAAGTAAACTATTACATGGACACCATTTGCATGTTGGTTTAATGACATTGGCAAGACCTTGGAACTGGACCAAAGAGAAGAAAAAACAACCTGGTGCTTATTGATTGCAAGATATAAAACAAAACTAAAGGAAAATTTCTAGCTAAAAGCAAAATTTTTATTCCACTTTACGCTGAACCAGGTGCCAAAGAGTAAAAATTAACAACCTTGTAAAACCGGTTCTTCTACATATTGTAAACTATTTAAAAGCAAGCAGATCTTAGACAAATTATATTAATTACTATCATATATAACAACAATCAAGGAAAAGCACCTCTTGTTCCTTCTAGAAGTGCCTTGGCAACACGAAAAGGAGTTCTCTTAAGACCTTCTCTGTTGACATCCTCGCCCAAACCCCGCAACAGAACTTTCACAGCATCCTCAATGACTCTAGTCTCTGGCTCTTTCTCCAAAATCAAGTCATTTACATCCAGCCTCATTCCATTCTCAAGCTCAACACAGAAATGGCCCTAATCCAGAGCGCCCATTGACAGAACCAAAAAAGAAAAAAAACCAACCTTGATCCAAATTAAAGAATAAACTAATGAAAACCCAAAGCTTGAGACAATCCAAAAACCCACAAGACAATCAGAATGTTAATTTAAAATCTAAATTTTGATAACAAACTCGTAAAATCCGAGGCACCCAGACACAGAAACGTAAAGAAAGATATGAATGATAAAGACTTAGAAAGAGATAAGCTGAGGAAATAGACGCAGAGGAGGAGGCGAAGCGAAGGGAATGGATGTGTAGGGTTACCGTTGGTCTTTGAAATGTGTGGATCTTCTCCTATGTTTTATATTAATTTCTTCGATGAAAAGAACGAGAAAATCTTCTTTTCGTTTTAAGGGGAAGTTAGGGGTGGGCCCACTAAGTAGGGCTGTTCTTGTGTAGGGGAGTGCAAAATCTAGGTCGCTTGCTACAGCCTTCACTGTTTTGTATTCTGTACAGAGCCAATACGCCTAGAAAAAGACAATGGTGTTGTGGCGCCCGGAGGCAGAAGGGCAGAGAGAAAGAGAAGTTCTGGCTTTTCGGCAATAAGCGCCTTAAATATTTTAAGGCAAAATTTAGAGTTTGGTTTTTGACCATTGGCAAAAAAGTGCGCGGGTCAAAGACTCAAAGCATGGATGGTACGGGGCCCAAACTAAAAAAGAGTTAGGAGGAGAGAGTGGCACATCTCACCAACCCACCAACGAAAAGAGAGCCAGGATATCCCGGACCTTTGCTTGTGGAAAGAAGATGCTATGTGCCACTGGAGGTGCTGTGGGGCCATTCTGTCCATGGTGATTTTATGGTCATTGTCGATTTATCTTGATTTCAATTGTCCTTTTCTTTCATGAAATCGGGGGTAGATTTTGTCTGTGTTCCTGTTAAAAAAAGGAAAAAAAAAGAAAAGAGAGTCGCTCGCGATGAAAATAACTAAAGAAAACAAAATTATTAATGCGACTAAAATAGAAAGCAACATCCAACATCAACTCAATCCTTACAGTGACGATGATTGATGATTTTTTTTTTTTATACATAAAATTTAGGTGACAAAAATTTATTTTATTTTAAAATTAGAACATTCCTAAATGTTTCAATAAAATTTAAAATAAATTTACGGATTGTACATAAAAAAATATTATTAAAAATAAAAATCAAATTTAATCTTTACAAGCACAATTACTTTTAATGCTTTAACGGAAACAGATATATTTTGTACTTAATCATTTACTGTGATAGAATCTAACGTACTCATCCATCTTTGCCTTTTATTGAAAATTGTATTTATTGTATGGAGCAATAGCCTGTAGGTAATAAAAATATTAGTAAAATGAAAGCAACAAGTATAATTAAAAAAAATCAACAAGTATACAAGGTTTCTTTAATCAAACAACATACTAAAATTATTGGAATGTTGAAGATGCTTGAGATAAAATTAAACTTTATAAAAAAAATAAAAAACACTGAATTTTGTACCTTGAGTTTCTATAAATTAAATTAACTAACTATGATTTGGAACCTAGTAGGCTAGTACTTCAATAATTTGTTTATGTAATTTTCTTGATTTGACAACTATGAAAGAAGAGGTTGCGTGATTGGTTGATAAAACTTTAGTTTGATTAAGGTTTCAATCAAAGTCAAATCAAGCCTTAGATTGGCATCTGTTATACTGTTCAATGCTGATGAAAGATTGAACCCACGTCCCATGTAATTTGCCCAATAACCACTTTTTTTTTTTTTTTTTTTGTGTATAGTGTCATAATGTAGTGTAGTTATTTGGTACGAAACTTCATTTGACATTAGGCCTTGGGTATTACTTAAAGATGACATCGGGTTAGGTTCAGAATGGATTTTACTCGTCTCGAATTTAATCTGATTTTATATTTTAGCATATTCGAATTTGATCTTATTCGATTTTTTTATACTTAAATTCGACTCAATCTGACACTATATAAATCGTATCCGATTTAATTTGACCTAAAATTAATAAAATATTTATTTTTTAAAATATAAAATATTATTTTTTAAATATAAAATATTTAAAAATATCATTATATAAATATATATAATTATTTATTTATTTAAAAAATAATTTTTTTATATAATGTCGGGTCGAATCGAGTTTTAGACATATCCGAACCCGATCCGACCACGATTATTCTCTAACTATATCCGACTTGACTCTAAAACTGAAATTCAAAAATAAAAACCCAACCCCATAAAATCGGATCTAATCGAAAGCCGTCGGAACGAGATTGATTGCCATCTCTAGTATTACTCTAAGCTTTTACGTCAAAGTGTGGAGTTTGATCCATAGATCTTAAGACTCTGCTTTGTTTATTAAATTAACCATTTCATTATTAATTAATAGTTTTTAGATTAAAAATTGATTAATTTTTATTTATTTTCTTATAATATATTCATTAAAGTTCTTATTCAAATAAACATTTCTTAATCGATAATTTTCTTATTAAATAAAATATTGACTATTTTTATGTATTTATTTCTTATTTACTTACTAATTGACAATCCCTCTAATTAATTAGAATTTGGGTTATTATTTGCTGCTTCTTGGGACCGGCTTGTGGTTAATTTATTTGGATGTATTTATAGGGTACAACAAGCATTCATTAAACAGACGAAATATTTGAATTATGTTAAAAAAATCTCAAAAGTAATTGGAGATTAACTGTAATTATATTCTGCAAACTTTTTTAATGGCACCATTATGGTATCATACAGTTGGAAACTTTCACTTCTGCCTTCACCATGTTACCTGTTACCTTGCTTGCAACCGACAAGAAAATAATATCAAGTCATGCAATGGTGTGTGCCGGTATTTTTCAGCTGGCGGTCTCACTCAATCATCTAAGGCTTATGAGCAAGTTTGCTGAAAGCAGTACTTATTCGTTCATCAGCAATCATTTTGTTGTTCTCATAGAAGTCTAAAATCTCCATCGAGATGTTTTTCACCTGCCAGTTTCAATGAAATGAAGTTAAGATGTTGACAAATAAAGCACTCTTTATAAAAGTTTAATTGCAATTGTGACATGATGGACCTCATTGCAGTCTATCTAAACTTCACAGCTTGACATGCAATGCTCGAATTAGAAGGTGGTGACCAGTAAATACCATGCAATTTACAGTAGTACGATCTCAGAAAATGCATTATTTCTTTCCGGTTAAATATATGAGGTGAAAGTGCCTCACCAGACAAATGGAAAAATAAAGTTTCAAAAAAGGCAGACACTTTTTGGTACATTTAATTAAATAGAATTTTGCACAAAGACTTGTGTTTTTGTATAACAAAAGAAACCACAACATTGTGAATCAGATTTAGCTTAGAAAACTCACCACATTCATATCAACGCGAAGTTCTTCAAACCAAGTGGTGATATCTTTCTCTCTGTATACACTAGCAATGTACATGCAAGCTAAGGCAATCAAATATGGCGGATGTATAAGAATAAGGTCCATCTTGTATGTGTCATTTACAAGTCCCCTGTGTTTCAGAAAACCAAGTTTTAGTATATTTATTCAGTTAAATAAAACTTTAAAGAAGAAGAAAAGAGAAAGGATCCATGAGACAAATTTAGACCAATCATTGATCATGAAAAAAAGGCATGCTCACTAGTGCAGCCGCCAGCCAGTCTCAATGTAACCTACCTTCACATGCGAGAAACTACGCATCTTGATATACAAGATGACGAACTATGTCTCCAATGTGGACACTATGGAGTTGAAAACCAGCTAAATACATATGAGGGATACTAAAAAATTCCAAAATTTCCATCCACAATTTTCGTTAATCTTGGTTCAGACAAAATAGTTTTCTTAAATACAACTGCACTTAATTCTACCCCAACCAGCTTCAATTCTCAGTTTCTCAACTTAGCAATATTGGCAAAGTGACCAACTTCATGTACAGCTTAACAGTAACCCACAAGATAATCTACATGCACTATAGCACTGACATGATCCTATATAGCTTCATAGGCCGGGTATCTAAAAATCTATCATCAATCTCAAAAAATCAAAATTAAACAGAGTCTCAATTCAGGCTAAGTTCTATCTGTTTGATATAAATATAAGTTGCCAGTCAAACCATTACAGTCCTTTATCTTTGTTCCTAACCATCAATGGTACTTCTTGTATGTCTTCTTGTGTATCTCTGTGTTTATGTATCATGCATCTTCAATCAATTCTTCCTAAAAGTAATGAAAAGGCGAAATGGTCCACAGGTAGTTCACAAAGCCAAAGGCAAAATGCTTTCAGCAGCCCTTCTTTACAAGTTTACGACTTGAGGAAGACTTTTTTTAGGGCATATTTCTGACATGAATTAAATATTTTGAACTTCAACAATTACTGATGTTAAGAGTTTGGCACTTACCAAGATAATTGAGTCATACTCATATCATTCATGCCAGCATCCTGCAACAGCCTGCCAAGGTGACAGGCACAAGATACTACTCAGATGTGTCAAAATAAACACTGATGCCAATTAGCAGAAAGAACAGTATTGGAATAATTTAAACTTAAAGTAGCTTAATTCCAATGAATTTTATATTGCAAAAGGTCATATCAAAGTCGTATGTCAATTGTAAATTATTAGATAAGACTGCATTGAGTTTCAGTTCACTAAAAATATTTTAATAAGAAATAAATCATAAATGTCCATATCTATAGTATAAAATAAGCATTTATTAAATGCTAACCTAATTCTATGAGAATTAATTTATTGATATCAAATGATAAATACAATTTTGTCATTAGGGAACTAAAAAAGATTTAAAAGAACAATAGAACAAAGTGGGGAAAATATGAAGCGTATAGAGTTAGAGCTTAACACAGATAGAATGACATTACAGGATTCTATCTCAAAGTAGTCTGAACTTATTAAGGCAAAACTTAAGGTTTCAGTCCTTTCTTATTCCAACCATAAATTGTTAACGATGCAAAAGATTAGTGATGCAAATTAAAATGTAACTACAGATGCATAAAGACTATGGCAAAGAAGATAAAAACTTACTGAGATAATGTGCGGTAAGGATGAAATACGACTAAATAATAGTTAAGTGCTTCTAAAATCTTCATTTCCATTTCAAGTATATCTTTGATTTCATATCTATACTTTTCATCAGAATCTGCAAAGCAAATATGGTGGATTGCAGTAAAATACCAAATGTCTGGGAAGTTCAAAGGATTAATCAACCAACTTAGTAGTAAGTGATTACATAATTTTTTGTTGTAAAATACAAGAAGTCTAGCCTGCACTGTGCTTTCTTCTGCCTTGGAGGCCAAATATAAGCAAGTAGGAGCAACAAGACGTGGGTCATATTCAGTCATACTCTTTCTGAAAGACATGAAAAAATATGGTTAGTGATTGATAACACATTGTATGGTGGAAAATTGAAGCTTCTACATAATTTACATTCAATGCATCTCTATCCCATGTAATAATTCATGGTTACATGGTGAGACAAAGAATAATGAGCAAATAGCATGTTTGGTACACAAGATTATGCATAGGATAGGATTAGATGATATTATGAATAGAATTAGATTAAATAATATCATCTTATCTTGTGTTTGATATGTGTAAGGATTACGATAGAATAATTTTAATTATTGGTCAAAACTATCCTTCCTTAAAGTTTATACAATTTAAATTATTGACGTAATTTTTAAGAGTATAATAGGACACAAGTTTAATCCTATGGATTAAAAATAATCATCTCCATTTTGGGAGGATTGAATCATCTTATGCCAAGAGAATGATTAATTCTCTTTACAATCTTATCCGTCTCCTTAGATGCAAATCAAACATAGTATAGAATGATTATCATCTTATTCTATCTATCATCCTATGCACCTCTAATTTTGCAAGGGTAATTAATTATAAAGTCACTCATGATGAATTTGTAACATGTTAAAAAAACTGGAATATTGTACTTGAAAAGTCACAAGAAATTCAAAGCTTGAGAAAAAACCAATGAAAGAAAATGAGAGGATAGGTTATGATCCGCTTGTCATCAATGACTAGCATGACCTTTCACATCACCATTAGTAAAAATGCCAAATACCTGGTATAGACACGTCTCATATATGTAACTGCAGTTGCAACAACCCTGAAATATTAACCACATCTTAGAGATAATAACACTTGGTGAAAAATAAGCCAGAAAAAAAAAAATTGTCCATCGAGTTTGTAATGACAACAAGTTATACTAAATACATTACGCAAAGCAACATACTAGGTTCACTGTTTTTCCAGGAAATAATGGTCTCATAAATGAGAGAAACTAACTCTGCTTAAGCATGATATTTTGTTAAAGGATACATAATCTTCACGATCACTTTCTGTTAGCAAACTTCGGGTGATTACTTGCTAGAATTTTCCACACAGAATTTGTAACCAACTTTTTTCAGAAGGAAGCCATTGTGTTAAGGGAGAAAGTTACAGCAAACAAAGTGCTTTAAGTATAGATTAATTTGATAAACCAATATAAGAGGTTTGCGAGTGAGTGTTGATGCACGTGCATGTGGGTAATTAATTATCAACTAAAATCAGTAATAGCATTACAGCAGAGATACATAGCACATGATCAGAAACCTATGTGTTCTCATTTTAAAGTTGCCACGTTGATCTTCAGTAAGTGATTAAAAAAAGATGTTCTGCCTTTAGATAGTCCAGTTCAGTCCAGGGATAACACTACGTGACAGCTAGGATATAGAATAAATGTCAGCGGCATAAAAGTACTATATCAGTTGAATGAAAAAGAGATATTAGTCACATTAGCAGTTGAGCTATTACAGATTCACCAATAAAAGCTACAATTAAACATTGTCAGCAAAAAGAAACCACAGCATTATACAAAATTTAGAAAGGAAAAGTAAAGATAAAAAAGATTAATGGCATCACTGAATGAAATTGTCAATCATTTCAGTTAACAGAAAGGAATTTCTTAAAAAACCAAGAGATAAGATCAAACCTTTGCCTCACTTTAGCATGTTGAGCTAGTTTCAATATATCTAAGAAAGGAAAAAAAAGCACAAAATCACTAACATTAATGAGGAAGTTATATGGAACAAAGCTATTAGTTCAATTAAATTAGGCAATGCACATATTTGCATGCAAATAGCTTTCTAAAAACCACCAATTTCCTTTTATAATTCTAACTACAATAATAAGCCACAAAGTAAATTTTAGTACAGAAAGAAATTCTCGAAGTACGAATTTTTCTCTTATTGATGAACTCGTTGACAGCCATGCTAAAAACAAACATTAAAGCTATATTAAAAAGGAAGAGCACTCTGAATTCTTGAATCAATTCTATGGTGACAAAATATAAAGCAATCAAATGTAATAATTCTGTTTTTTCCTCACAATATGGAGAACTTATGATAATTAAATGCTCGCTACTTCAAGAACCCAAGATATGAAATTAGAGACTCCCATAGATTAATAACATGAAGAAATATAAGATTATATGCCAAAATGAAAACCCAAAACCAACCTAAAATGTTTAAGCAATAAGAACTGCTAAACCGATTAAAAAAAACAGATTATAAACTTCAAAAAAAAAAAAAGCCCAAAATTTATGAATCAAGTAGAAAGAGAATCTGAATCAAAACCCATAAAAAACGGAGAAGAGAGAAAGCGAACATACAATTCACCATATGCATCTTAATGAGCTTAAATTCTTCAAGAGTGATGCCTTTATCTTTATCTTGTTGATGTACGACATCCACCTCTTCTGGATCCAAAAGCTGCTTGCTGCAAAATCAAAATTAAATCAAACAAGAAAAAAGTCGACAAAAAAAAAGCAAATATTGACCCAATCTAAAAACAAGCGATAGATTGCACAATCAATGGAAAGAGTTCAGTTTGGTTTGCTACAAGTGAGAAGAAGTCCAGAAATTGGCCGCCATTTTTTTTTTCCCTTGTTCTGAGAGCCGAATCATGTTCGTGCTTAATTTACCTTGTTCGAGTTTTCTAGAAATGATTAATGTTCCAAAATTAAGAATTTGGAATTTTCTTTCGGTGGTCAGGACTCAGGATTTCGTTTGGGTCCGCCCAGATTAAGCAGGCCGTTTTCGTATTATCCGAAATTAGAGTTTAATGGCCCAGGTTTATGGATTTGGGCTAGGTGGGCTTGCTATTGCCCAATAAGTATTTTTAAATTTTACAAAGCAGTTGCAAGATTGAATCAGTCTGTTAACAAGATTAGGAAACTGATACATCAAGTCTACTAATAAGATTAATAAAATAATAAAGTGATACATATACGTATATTTAAAAAATTAATTAAAAATAAATTTGATATGTGTCGATTTTTTAATCTATAAAATTAAAAAATTACTCTATCCAATAATTGAATGGCAAAAAAAATTAATTACACATTATTTTCTAGACTGCCATCTTAAAAAGGAAATATAAAGATTTTTTTTCAGTCATGTTCATGAAAATTTTTATTTAAAATGAGTAAATGTTAACACTAATAAATTGATTGAGTTTATTGAAAAAAATCAATATTTTATAAAATGTTCATTTTAAAATAATATGTTTACACAAAATTTGAATAATACATAATGAATGATAGAAATTTTGTCATAATTTTTAATGAAAATATTTATTTAAATAAAAAATAAAAATTTATTTAAATTATTTGAATTTTGTATACTTGATATGTGTATCAATTTTTAAATAAATTTTTTAAAAAATCATTTTTTCTTCCTCTCAAGTATTGCAACGGTTGGGTCGAGTTATAGCTACCATCCATTCTTAACTTCGCCAAAATCGTCGTGACTCAATCGTGTAGCATTTGGATGCCACCTCGAGTATTTAATTTAAAAAAATAAAAGGGATACCTTTAAATATATAGCAATTAAAAAAATATTTTGAAATTTAAACAGTTAGAAGCATACCAAATATAATCGTATTAAAGGTAAAATGCACAATTTTACTTTTATCTCAAAAATAATTATGTTAAAATTAGTCATTAATTTATTCATTTAAATTTATAGCTAATTATGATTTTCACTACTATTTATTTATTTCTTGTATTTTATAATATTTTAAGGAATTATAAAAGTAGGACAGATTCATAACGGAAACCTGAAGGGCCTTGGGCCCCAAAATTTTTGGAACCCCTTTAATGCATATATATATATTTGTATTAAATACATTTAAATTAGTTATTTGACAAAAATATGTTTATTTTATTATTTTTTGTGGTTTATAAATTAAATTTATGCATTATAATTTAAAAGATGCTCGAATCATATTTATAATTATTTATTTATTATATCCAATAATTATTATTTGTAAATTTTAACATTTATATTTGTTAACATTTCTTTTTCTTCATTATTTTTTACTTTTATTTTTAATTTAAATCTCTATCACATATTGTAATTCTTTTTTCAACAAAAAATATTATATTTGAACTATTTTACAAAATAACAAAAAATACCAAACTTGTAATCTCAAATTTTTATCTTCATTCTCTTAAAAGTAAATTTAGTTTTCTTGTTTTGATAAAATATTTAATAATTGATTTATTCATATTTTTTTATTTCACTTTTAAATTGTCAAAAAATAAAAATATTTTGTGTAATTAGTAATCCAATAGTTAATTATAAATCAGATTATCATTAAAAATATAATGTTGTCATAGTAATATTTTTGTTTTGTAATTTTATGCTCTTATCATATATTTATTACTATGTTATTTGTATGTGTGTGTGTATGTATGTATATATATATATATATATATATATTAATAAGTATGTTAAAATACAACTTAAAAAAATAAAATATATTATACATTATTAATTAGTCCTCTCTAAATTATATGTGAAGATTCGTCACTGTATAAAAGTAAATGAAATATCATACAAGGCCAATTTTTTTACCCTTGAAACGACATTCTTTTTAATATGTTATAGTTTTTTGTATTTGAAATTATCAAAAAATTAAATTTTAATAATTAAAATTAAAATTTTAATACTTTACTAATAAACCACTTAATTATTAATTTTTAATATTTTTTTTAGTATACTATGTAACTTTACCATTTCATAAAGTATTTTGGGGCCAACAACGAAATAATATTTCATTTATTTATTGCAACATAGTAATAACTTTTTTGTCTAATTTATGCTAGAGATTGTTGTATTATGTCAAATTTTAGAATTGAGTTCACATATTATAATTCATATAAATTTAGTTTTTTTATTATTTTAATTTGATAATTTTAATTTAGTCATTAATTTTGTTAAATTTTTACAGTTAAAAATGGTAATGTTATCATTGACTTTTTTTACATAGCATTTACTTCTTAATGTAGCAAGTTGGATTAATGAAATCAATTACTAAATTATGCAAATAGATTCTATGCATATAATAAATTTGAAATTTAATCTCTTTAATATAATTTTATAAAATTTTAGTGCTAATACAAGTTAAATTTAATAATATTGGTCTAATTACTAATAAAAATCATATTTTAATTTTTTAAAAGGGCAATATTTTGATTATAGTTTTTAAAAATATAATATTTTCATTTTTTATAATTTTTTTAGATTTATTTAAAATATTAAATTTAATATATTTAAATAAATTAATTTACGAAAAAAATATTTTTGAATTTTTAAAAATTAGATTTTATTTTTTAAGAAATTTAATATTTCAAAATTTTTAAATTTTCTCAAAATTTGAAAATAATAAATTCACTATTTTACTTTTTTTATTTTTTAGAATAAAATTCATTTTTTGAACTTTTTATTTTTGAAATTATAACATTTTATTTAGTCAATATATTTAATTCTTTGTTTTTAATATCTTGGAATTTCATGAAGTTTTTATATTTTTCATTTTATGTTTCTTTATAAATTTTATATATCATCTATAAAAATATAAAAAGTACAAAAAAATTAAAAAACGTATAAAATTTTATAAAAATTCCAAAAGAGTTAAAAATTTTAAAATTTTATTTAAATAAAATGTTAAAGTTTGAAAAAATAAAAATAATGTCAAAAAATTAAATTAAAAATAAAATATTAAAAAATTAAATTTAATATTTTTAAAAATTAAAAAAATTAAAAATATATTTTTTAAAAAATTCAAAAAATTAAATATTTAATAAATATTAAATTTAATATTCTAAAGGTATGGAAAATTCTTAAAAAATAAAAAATATTTTTTTCAAAAAAATAAAATATGATTTTTAAAAAATAAAAATATGATTTATATTAATAATTAGACCAAATTATTAAATTCAACTTATATGAGAATGAAATTTTTTTAAAATTATACTTAAAATATTAAATTTTAAATTTAATATAAATATAATAATTATTTGTATAATTTAATAATTGATTTCATTAATCCAAATTAACACATCAATAAAGTCAATGATTAAATTAGCAAAGTTAATGATCATGTTATCATGTCAACTATGATATCAATATTTTAAATAAAAAATTGATAAAATTAATAATTAAATTAAAATTATCATATCAAAACAATATTAAACTAAATTTATTCAAATTATAATATAAAAATTAAATTCTAAATTTAGGTAAATCTAACTTTTTTAGTACATATATAGCCTTGGGTTGGGATTCGCCTCGCTGCATGTCTGATCCGTATAGTTTGGACTTTTCAAGGTCGTTGTAGCCCACGTTAATATACATGCCTGGTCCTTGCTTTCCAAGTCAATAGTTTTAATTTCGGCTTTAGTAGTACTGTTTTTATGTAGTCAACTACGATTAATAATGGTGAGATTAGATTTTAGTTTGGAATTTTTATATAACGCGTAAAATTATAAATATTTAAACTTTGATATAAATTTGAATCAAATTTTTATACCATTTGATTCATTTTACTGATTTAATTTAGTTTATTAATTTTTTTAAATTTTAATATAAATTTTGATATATTTAAATAAATTTAAGTATAAAATAATTATTTTTTGTTTTATAAAAAAATTAAAATATATATTAATAAAAATATATAATTCTGTTGGATATGATTTTTTATCTTTTAATTTAAAATTTGTGATGTATTTAATATATATTCAATATTTAAATTTAATCAAAATCAAATAAAATATTATATCAAATAAAATATTATAAATTTTAATTTATTTTTAATTTTTTCTTTTTTTTTTCAACCCTATTGTCAACCATTACAATATAATCATTCTTTAAAGCGGGATTCAATCATAATGTGGATGCATGGAAAATTGCCAATAGATGTGTTGAAAGAGACATTGATGTCTGTGTCACTTGACACGCGAATAACGTAGTTAAACATTTCCAAAGATATATTTCTTCGTCGGCGTCAACTCTTGAGAAGGATTTGTACTTTGAATCTAGGCCGATTTTTGATCTGATTTTGTAATAATAACACTAATCTCTCTTGTTAACAAAAGGAAATATTTAAGGGAACGTTTGGTTTTGAACTTTTTTTTATATTATTAGTAATTTTAAAAATATTTAAAAATTATATTTTATAAATTAAACATAAAAATTATTTTATAAGTTCAAATGCATTTAATTTAAAAAAAAAAACATAAAATTATGTTTGATTTCAAAAATTAAAACCATTCGCATCCTGAGAACGATACCAACCAAATGCAAAAAAATGGCTTTCCAATCGGCAACGTTTTTTGTTCCTTCAAATGTCCAGGTGGTTTAATATAATTGGCTAACATCTTTTCATGAATTAATGGGTGGACCGATTGTGGTAGGCCCATTTGTATCCGTCGATTTATGTAAGAGGTTTTTATATTTTGTGAAATTTTAAAATAAATAATTATTTAAGTGGATATGAATATTTTGAAGTTATTCAATAAATAAATTTGTTTTTTATATCTTTTATCTATTAAATTGTAAAATATGTATGAATAAAAATAATTTTTTTTATAATAAAATAAATAATTATTTAAATAAATATTAATTTTAACATATATTTCGATCATTATCA